TTTTTTTTTTTTTTTTTTTTTTGTTCATAGTAACCACTTACCAGCACTGTATTAAATTCCAAGTTAAAAAGTACGCTACAATTATACGATTAGCATGTGAATATTGAGCAGGGGCATTAGTAAGATTAACTTCTAAGGGATTGCCGGCTATTTGAGGAGAGAATAGGTAAAAAAATGAGATGAGAAAAACTTTACAAAGAATGAAATGCAACGGCTGGGTCAAAATCGTCACCGTGCTCCGTAGAGCAAAAGAGCAAACTGACCAGCAGTATTATCACGATGCCTTTTAAATTCGTCGTGAATAAAATATGATTTGATAAGATTGGTCTACGTTAGTCTAAAGTATTTCCAGACAGTTAAGTGTTTACATTGAAATCGAGACTGTTGAGATTTAAGCTTCTCTGACAATATTGAATTACACGATTAGTTTTGACAATGATTTCATGATCGATTTTGTCCAGGAATAACCGCCTTGGCTTATCGTATATTATCATAATTGTCTCTTCGTATTCTTTTAAACATATTTTTTGTATTTTCAGAGGTTTTCAGGCTTTTTTTTCATTAATTTATAATAAAGTATTACTTAAAAATAGACAATCTCGGTTGCAAATGTATATTTTAGTACAAAACATCCTTTTTGATACTGTTCTTTTTTATAATTGCTTATTATTCCAACATGCTTATTTGATTTGATTACTTGTTTACAATTTTGTTATTTCACTTCTTTGTAAAAAGAGGACAAATAGCAGTTAGATTTCACACAATTGCCGCAAGTTGTACTGCTTCTGTAATCGCAAACCGATTATCAAGAAATAAAGATAAATGTTGATTGTTAAACTACATGTATTAAAGCGTTGTTGCTAATACATATCTAAATCTACGGCTTTGGTCGGGACAGGTTAATGGGAATATTATTTTTCAAAACCTTCTACTCTTTACCAACGGTAAATAAACTGATATCGGGATTTAGGTACATGAGCCATAATAACACACAGCTTACCATTAATTTCGTGTTTCATAGATCATCATTGACATTTGAGGTACACTATACGTATCAGCAATTGAAAATGTCCAGATCTCATATTTTTTCCTAAATATCCTGCACAGCTACTGATGATTCCCACCTTTATTATNGCCTTATATACGGATTTAGGTACATGAGCCATAATAACACACTGTTTACATCGATTTCATGTTTAATAGATCATCATTGACGTTTGAGGTATACTATACGTATCAGCGATTGAAAATGTCCAAATCTCATATTTTTTCCTAAAGATCATGCACAGCTACTGATGATTCCCTTTATTATTGAAACTATAGAACCTATCAACTAGATGTCATATTTCCTTCTGATACATGGGCGGCCTAAATTTGTTAAGAACAAAGTACAGTCCGTAGGAACCCAAGTGCAGAAACGGTTCGTGCAATGGTCATCAAGTCATAACGAACATTATTATAATATCTTAAACGAAACTGAATTTTCAGTTGTTGGAATGAAACACGTCGTTCCTGTCACCGGGAGCCGACACAAATAGATTTTTCATACAACAAATCATAGGCTTCTTGTTCAGCAGATCCGATTAGTGAAGATACGGCCACAAGCCTTGTGTACGCCCTTCAGCAGTAAGTGCTTAAAACATGCACGGATCCTGAGCGGAAGAACATTCTGAACGTTTTCTCCGCATTTCTCCCACGTATTTGCATAATCGCGTACGTTTTCTCATGACATATCATTATAACAGTCTCGTTTAAGTTTTTTTTTTCAATCAAAACTGTCGACAATTTTTTCTGTAGGGTCATTCACACTAAGACAAAAACAGAACAACAAAATAGTTTTCCAATTTGTATTTACAATATATAACACAGAGAGAAACGTTTTTTCATCATTATATGAAATATATGTACAGTATATGCAATATTTGATACAAATGTTCTCTGCAAAAAGAAATAAAGTTGAAAGGTTAAAAGATATTAATCTCACTGTCAACATCCTGACTCGTATCTTTTTTTTTGCGAATAATCAAAGAAATTACTTGAAACAAATGATTTCTTCACGGCATGTCACATAAATTTACAAATAAAGTTCTAAATAAAATTTAAGAGAGTCAAACTAAAATAGTACGTTTATGCTAACTACAATTTCTCGCAAAAAAAAAAAACTTTAAAGAAAAAAGTAAAAAAGAAAAAACTCAATTCTTTTCATCTTTTGTCTGTGGCTGAGCATGTTTGTGTAACATATAGCGAAGACTATCTCTCCATAGAAAACTACCAAACCTGTATCAGTCAGAATTGCTCAAATAAAGTCCTTATTTGTACAAAACTTAATAATAAAACTTAAATAATAATCATAATAATGCATAGAGTTTTAAAGGGAAAAACTTCTCTGAATACTTATGATCCTCTTTGTGGTTTTAACCAATAAATAAATTATATTAACTTAAAAAGTACTTCTTGATACTAGTCATCTGTTAGATACCTTACTCAATTAGATCTTGTTTAAATTAGTCATATTTAATATAACAACTTATAGTAACATATATACTAGACTGTCCTCACATTATCTTACTGCAACTAAATGAAATACTAAGAGTCTTGGAAAATGAAAGTAATAACATTCTATTACTCATGTCATAGGCCAAAATGCACATTACCGTGCATTCCAATTTGACCTATATCTAGCAACTTGCTATCTTCTGTTTTAGCTTTGAGCAACACAGTACAAAAAGGCTGCAGAAGTAAACATCAAACTGAGACCTAGGGATAGATTTAGAATACAACAGACCATACAAAAGAAAATACCAGAGACACAGTACGAGGAGCTAAAACAAAATAACCCACTAGTTAATCAAGTTACTGTAATTGTAAAGAAGGGGGAACTTAATAAAATGAGTTGAAAATATGGATAAATGTCAATAAAGGTACAGACAGTGAAGCCTATGGTCCTTCAGCTTTTACTGCAGTTTCTGGCTCTGCTTTGATAGCAACAGAGTCCTCAGTCTTGTCACCCTGTGACTCCTGGGAATTTCTGGCTGGGGCAACAGACTGTTCTTCCTTGGTCTTTACCTTCTCAACCTTCACCTCCACACCCGGGGTGTCAGTCTTTGTCTCTTCCTTGCTGGCCTCAGCTGCCACTGCTGTAGAACTACTGGTCACCTCCTGCTTCCCACTTCCCTCAGCTGTCCCATCAGCTGTGTCCATTGGCTCTTCTTTCACTGTCACTACAGTGCTGCCATCTTCAGTTGGTTTAACACCATCACTGCTAATATCTGTGGGCTCTGTTTTCACCTCAGTCCCTGCACCACCAGCCTGGGTCTCTCCACCCTGGTCACTGCCCTGAGCACTCACTGACTCCTCCTTGACCACGCTCTTGCTGACCCCTGTCTTGTCATCCTCACCGTGTCCAGTGGGGGCCAGAGACTCTGCCCCCTGTTGTCCAGCTGGATTGGCCAGTGTGAAGTAGCTGCCAGATGAAGACATGGACAGTGGACTGGTTGGTGTGGAGCCACCAGCAAACCCACCCTGTGGGAACAAGGAAGAAATGCTTTAACTTACTGTGTTATAAAATGTCGTTTCTGGGTTACAGGCATACAGCTTAATAATTACCAACACTTTTTAGTGTTCAAGTTTAAGGAGGATATGGCCTTATCTACACTGCCATCATATACCAAACCATTAATCTTAATTTTATTTTTAACCAGAATGCTTTATTACATAAAATAAATATCCTGCTGCTTTTTTTCCTCTAGAGGAAATAATGACTGAAAGTCTCACCTCTTTTGGGTCTTCATAACAAACTGGGTGATAAGTCTGCAAAAACAACAAATACAAAATATACAAACTTATCCATACAAGTGCTGTAAATTAACAACTACAACACTATTTCAATATGATGCCTTGTTTTAAGATTTAACAAGACTTGTACATGAATATGTTCTATACAGTTATAATAACTTTTTTTAGTTCAAGAAGACAACAGGAAAATTTGTTTATATCTCTTATTAAATAATAATAATAATAATAATAAATAAATAAATAAATAAATAAATAAATAAATAAATAAATAAATAATCACTTTTTTGAAGTTATCCAAAACAAACATTTGTTATCCCAGAATCTTTGTTTGAACACAATATCAAAATACAAAATACAGTGAAGTAATACATTAGTTTTGAAGTGCAGTGTACCTTTCCATTGATCCTAATAGCATCCTTGAGGTGCCACTCCTCTGCTTCCTCATCCCAAAACTGCTCAAATGGATCATGGCACACATCACAGATCTGAATGCAGAGAAATTAATTTAAAAAATTGAAATTTATCTTAAAAGCCTAAAACTTTTGAAGGCATGCTACTGACAAACACAGTATTCAAAAGATGTAGCTTGTCCTTAAAAGTTCCACTGAAATGGATAGCTATTTTCAATTTACTTCCTCAAAATTTTAAAAATGCAACAAAATTGTTACCAATTTCCAATCAATCTGCCTTAAAATATTTTCCACTGTGAGTCTTTACAGCACAATACCAATCTCAATGTTACCAATTTCCAATCAATTTGCTTCAAAATACATGACATTCTATCATATTTGGCCAGACAAGAAATGTCTCTTACATCATCAGACTCATTGCCTGTCGCTGCAGGACAGCTGATGGGTTCTGCTCCTACCACAGCTGGGTTGGCACCAACACTCTCCACACCTCCACCTCCACCCTGGTCAAAGAAACTCAGGGCACCTGTTTCATAAATGGATGACAAATAAATTTGTGGCAAAATAATATGATGTAAAGTTTAGTACTGTAGAAAATCTGTGTGGCATTTATAGATGAAGGCCAATTCTGTAGATATATATCAAAGTAATGATTTTGCACAAAAAAATTGGCAAGGCTAGCTTTTCAGTACAAATTTGAACAACATGTTATCATAAGCTTTCAAGTATTCTTCTACTAACAGAGCAGGAAAGGATTTCAGTTTTGATTTACACTAACATTCCTTAACTGAATCTAAGCAAAACGATTATTCCTGGCCAAATTCTTAATTGCAGCTTATGGTGGATATGACAGTGGTTACTATTCAACTTACCCGTCTCCTCATCATCCACTATTTCTTCATACTGAATCCAGTCCTACAAGTACAAGTTATAACATGGTTTAAGTCAATATGATACTGACAACTTAAAATGCTTGTCAATGGAACACATCAACTTTCTCAGTAGGACTGATCTTATGATGTTTACAAAGAAAAAATACAACCCAGTGAAATATCTATTAATGGCATAGCCTCTTTCTAACCCTAACCTCATTACCAAAGTGAAACGACACTATCTAAATAATTTCTGGCATGAATAATAATAATCATAAAACATTTTTCAACAAATATTTGTAGTTTTCCTACAATACTGCACTGTTGGCATACTCACATGCATCTCATAGTACCACTTCCTGTGTTTGGCCACCTTGGCGTCCTCTTTCTCCTTTTTATTCTGGCGGAAATGCCAGTCCAAGTGCTCGCGGTACTTCTCTGTATTCTCCACAGCAAAACGCACAGCACAGGATGAACACTGAATACCCTGGTATAGCCTCTGAATGACTCCTTTATGCTTCCTGGAGGTATGACAATATAATGATAAATAAAAAATAAATAAATATCCAATAAACAGTGTTGTCAATGGAAAAGGGAAAATAATCTTTTCACCACATTACCTGAATCTGATGAAAACAGAATAATGCATTGTTTTACTAATTGTTTTTCAAATTCATTTGCAAGTGTTAAATTCAGAGCAATGAAAGGGATCCTTACTCTTTCATGTCCTCTGTCTTGAATGCTGTGAGGTCTGGGACATCTTCCAGCTTCTCATTAATGCCTTCAGCCTCCTCTTCTTTCTACAAGATATCAGAAAAGTAACCATATAACTCAGTTATGAACATAAAATGCTAAAATCAATATTGAAATACCTATATTTCACTTCTCATTCACATCAAGCTATCTTGCAAGTGGTATTGTCAAATTTGAAAATTTTTAACAGGCACATTCTCCAAGGCCATGAAATAATGACCACAGTAAATATTTATTCTAGTACCTTTTCTTCCTGTGTCTGTTCCTTCTTATCAGACTTGATAATGCCAGCAGAAAGCAGTTTGCTGAACAGGTCATTGACATCTATCTGACTGTGGATCTGGGGCTGGGGCTGTGGTTGCTGTTGCATAAATGGTACACCTAGAATGAAAATATGGAAATATCAAAGACAATCTGCACTAAGTTGGAACTCCAAACTCCACTTCTGAGGACAAAGATTCCGTGCCCAAACAGAACATCTAAAATAAACTATACAAAAGCAATTTAACAATTTTTTTCATTGATATCTTCCCTGCAGCTCTGATTCAGTAGTCTTACAATCACAATGTTATGTAAGGCATCTTGCTTAATCTAACTTTGATCACATGGCAATTATACACCGGCCAAGCAAATACTATAATGGCCAAATTCAAGCCAAACTCACCCATCTGTGACATGAAAGGCTGTCCCATCATGGCCTGGAATGGCATCATGCCCTGTCCTGGCATCATCCCCTGCATGCCCATCATGGCTCCTGGCATCATCATGCCCTGCATGCCCATGACAGCCTGCAGGTTCATCATGCCACCAGGCTGCTGATTTCCCTGCTGCTGCTGTCCCATGGGCCTCACACCCTGAGGACCCATGCCTGGTTTATTGAACTGTGGACCATCCTGGGGACCCCTACTGCGGTACTCCTCATATCTGTCTCTGCGCTGTCCTCTACCAGTCCCAGGCATGTTGGGACGATTATCAGGGTGCCCTCGACCTGCACCAAGGTGGAAACCACCACCACCACCACCTCTGCCCCCACGGAAGCCACCCCCAGGAAACTGGTCCCTGTTTTGTGGTGGACCCTGCTGATGGGGTTTGTTGACCTGGGTCTGGAAGACAGGACCCCAGCCTGGGTCTGTGTCCTCTGGGTTGGCCAGCTTGCCTTTCTCTGGAGGATTTGGTCCTGTTCCATCTTCACTCCCAGGAGCCACATCTGCTTGGCCATCTTTAATAACCTTTTCTTTCTCTTTCACATCTGCCTTTATACTCTCACCACCTGGTTTCACAGGGGGCCTGGACTCCGGCGGCAGACCAAGCCGCTGCCAGGGTACTTCACCTAGAATCTTCACTTCTGGTGGGGCTCCCAACAGCTGCAAGGTATGGGTCCTCCCTGCTATCACAACCTCTCGAGGTATGCCATTGAAGTGAACTTCATACATTTTTCCATCAATGAGCACTTCAAAGCCTGGTCCTCCAAAGGCCACCATGTGCGGACGTTTGCCAATTCTCACTTTTCTAGGGTGATCCATAGGAACCAACCAAGGCTGGTCATCGATAATGATCTCACGTGGAGGCCCGTCGAAGCAGATTCCATAATATTTGCCCTCGTGGGCGACCACTGGTTCAGTTGTGTCCAGCATCAGCTGGCACAGTTTGCCATCAATGAGGATCTCGCGAGGTGGAGGTTTGAAATTAATTTCAAACTTCTGGCCGTCTAGATCCATTTCCAGATTCTCCTGGCCAAATTTACCAATCATAATGCCATCCAAGAACATCTCTTTTGTGGGACCGTTCACCTTGAATTCATACACAGTCTGGTCAATCAGAAGTCTCTGAGGGGGAGCATCTATGCGGATTTCATAGGGCATTGCTCCAATCCAGATAGTTTTCTGAGGTCCATGGAAAAATACTTTGTGGGTCTTTCCATGAATGATAACTTCTCTCACTGGGTCACCAATCCTGTAATAGCAGCGTCCATCAATAAAAATCTCCCTGGAGTTGGGGTCGGCTATTACCTCACATGGTTTACCATCAATACCAATTTTTCTTGGTACACCAACACGTAGCTCAAAAGGTCTGTCATCAATGACTACTTCAGACATGGAGCCAGACTTCATGGGTCCTCCCCTAGGTGGGGGCATTGGTCGTTTTGGAGGTCCAAAGTCACCAGGGCCATAAAAATCAGGCTCAGGCCCTGTAAACTCCTCTCCTTCAAAAGGAAAAGGTGGATACTCATCATGCATAGGTTTCTCCATCAGTCTAGGTATCCTGGGCAGACCACCTGGTGGAGGACCCCTTCCTCTAGGGCCATTCATGAACTCAGGGCCTCTCATACCTTCCAATAGTGGTCTTGGGCCAGGTCTGGGTCCTGGTCCTCTTGGACCATCAACAGGGCCACGGCCCCTGGGGCCATACATAGGGCCGGGTCCCCTGGGGCCTGGGCCCCTTGGACCATGCATGGGTCCAGGTCTTCTTGGTCCTCTAGGGCCATCCATAATCTCTGGCTCCCAGCCCTCCTGTTCAATGTGACCAGGTCTTCTAGGGCCACCGTGGCGGTTTGGGCCTCCTCGCATATTTGGTCCATCATCAGCATCAACATACAAAGGAGACCTGCCCTCTTCAGGGGTTCGGGAAAAATGTTCTCCAGGTACACCTCTGTGTGGCCTTTTGGGGCCTGGTGCTTCTTCATGCCAGTCATGCCCTGGTGTTTCAAGTAATGGCTCTCTCTGGGGATGAAATGGTCTTGCCTCATTGTGTCTGGGTGGCCCTCTTTCCCGAGGGTCTTCTGGGCGAGGTCTTTCAAGGAGACCACCTCTTGGGTGTGGGGGTCCTCTGCCTTCCCTCCCACTGAATTCTTTGGCATCTTCAGGGCGGAGACCGTGATGGGTTGTTGAGGGTGGGGAACCTCCAGTGATCACGGCCTCAGACTCCTCTCCAAGTTTCTCTTTTTCTTCCCTGAGTTTAACTCTTAGTGATTGCAACTTCATCAGTTCATTCAGCTGCTTCAGGAGCTCCTGGTGCTGTGAATGTGAAAGTTCTCCCGTCTGTAACTGCCTCTCGGCCTGCTTTAATATATCCTGCATCTGGTTCATCTCCAGTTCTCGTGGGATGCTAAGGTTGGGATCAGTGCTGAGACGCCGCGTCTCTGGAGAAATCTGGGTCTGCTGTCTGTGAGGTCCATGGGGACGAATGGGTGGACTGGGAAGTAAGGGTCCAGAGGGTCTCCTTCCTCTAAGTCCTGGTCGACCTCGGACACCCCGTGTACCACGGGGGTCTGTCCCTTCATCTGAATGCTGTCTGTTGAACGGATGTGGGGCTAGTGGGCTGGTAAACTCTGGGCGGTCAGCTTTAAACCTGGCCCAGCCAGCATGCCCTGGACTGGGTGGTGGGGCTGCTCCATGTTGACTGGTATTTGGTTTGTCAACTGCTAAAGGTGGCAGTCTTCTGTAGTCTACATCTTCTTTTCCAAACAGTTCACTGATAACAGAGAAAAAAATTATTTTTTCATAATTTTGTTTCAATACTTGTATCTTTATAAATCAAAAATTATGTTTAAGATAATAAGCAAGTTCAACTCCACAAATGAAATTCATACGAGTTATTATTCAGGCTAACTAAATAAAATCTAATTTAGTAAGCTTCATACATTATAATAAAATTAATACTATACAAGTAAACACGGAAAAGAAAAACACAATATTAGAAAAATAGTAAATATCAAACAATTCCACATTTCATCCTTAGAATATTAACCTTAAATCATCAGACAGCTTGCCCTTGTTATCATTATCTTGGGCGGAAACATCTTGATCTTTGCGGCCCTTCTTGTTTGGTGGAGCTTCTGTCTCAGGTATTCCCTCCTTTTCTTTCGAACCACGCTTGGGAGCCCTCTTATTAGTTTTATCATCTTTTTCACTGCTACTGGGTCTTTCAGCTTCTTTGTCAACTTCTTTCTCCTTGCTTTCTCTCTTCCTGTCACCTGACTTGTTCTTTTCATCAACAGAAGAGCGACTTGGTCGTCTATTTTGGGATTTACTTGGACTGGAAGCTCTAGGTGACCTTGAACCTCTGGGTGACCTTGACCTGGATCTGACCTCTGCCCTATTTGTTCTACGTGCTGACCTTGATGTTCTTGACTCAGGGCTGTCTGCTCTGTCCCTTCCTCTGTAGTTTCTAGACCCCCTCCCGCCCCGAGAAGACTCGGAGCTTGTGCGCCTTGATCCAGCTGAAGTAGATTCTGAGTTTTCACTTTCCTTACTGCTCCTTTTGTCAGTGTCTCTTTTGTTTTTATCAACCTCTTTCTTGTTAGAATCTGCTTTAGGCTTTTCTGTTTTGCTTTTGGCATTTCCCTGTTTTGATTTCTCCGCTGTCTCCTTTCCTAAAACCTTGCAACCCTTGGGACTCTCCTTTCGCTTGGTTTCTGCCTGAGTCTTTGTAGCTTTAGCTTTATCTGGAGTTACTTTGGCACCTGGTGATGTCTTTGATGCAGGCTTCTTATCTGTCACTACCTTGCTTGCAGCTGATTTTTCAGGAGTATTCTTAGTGGTTCCTTCTTGGTCTGTACGTGTTTGAACAGGGGATGATGTTTGTGCTGTTTTAGCAGGAGGCGCATGTTGTTTATGTTCCTGTGTCTGCTGTGGTTGTTGTTGTTGTTGTTGTTGTTGTTTAGCTTGCCTGGCTACTCTTGGGTCTCTGGACACCCGGGGATCTCTTGCTCTTGGATCACGTGAGGCTGTAGGAGCAGTGCTGACAGTTGGAGTGGTAGAGTGGACTTGGGCTGAATTTACACTGGAGGAGTTTGAAACCTGAAATGTTTAAATTATTTGTCAAATATTTGTTTAATAGTAACAATTTACAGAAAATTTTCATATAGTCCTGGGCATCTGAAATTGACAAAAAAAAAAAAAAAATCAACTGAAAATAAACTATGTAAGAATGTGCTGTCATTTTGCCTGAGCTCAGCACATTTTTAAAAATCAATGTTGTTCCTTGTAACATAAACAGTAATTGTCATGTAGATAACTGAATGCTGGCTAAAGAGAGAAGTGTCAAGTCACAGTGCTATAAATGTGTGCATTGGTCACCTTTCAACAGAAATCAAATCAAAAGAAAATTGAAATATATTTCATTGACGAGTATTTTCTTTTCTAATTGCCAACCTAACTTGCATCTGTGGCATATCAAACTCCTGTCAGCTGCATACCTGACTCTGCTGTTGATTGAGCAACATTTCCTTCACTTGCAGTTCCTTGGCCTGTTGTTCCAGCCTGGCTTTAGTTTCCGCTAGCTCCAGTTCCAGGCGCTGCTGGTGCAGCCGTAACAACTCCTGTTGCTTCTCAAAAAGCTGCTGTCGCATCAACTCCTCTTGTTCCCGGCGAAAGATGTCCTCGTAGTCCACCACTGGCACTGCTGACTGTACTGGCGGCTCCACTGCTGGCTGGCTTTGGTCCTGTTTGGGCAAGTGACATCATGATTAAAACTGGGTACATGTGATGAACACAAGTGGTATAAAGGTTATAAAAGACATTAAGATATCTTACACACATTCCATGTTATTTTGGCATGAAACAAGGAAAATTTTTGAATGAAATACATTCCTTTGTTATCCCCCCCTCCTTTTCAGCCCTGTCCCTTTTGATTCAATTCCACAAAAATATTTGAAGAGTTAGTGGAGAAGAAAAAAAATAGCAGCACACTTGAAGGGGGCAGTTCCACATGAAGACACAAGTCATTATTTTAAAGTATGATTCAACATATTTTTGAATAAAAATAATGGAAAAACTGACTGAAACACTAATTTAATATCTAATGAATCACCAAAGATGTGTCTGTGTGTGTGTGTGTGTGTGTGTGGGGGGGGGGGGGGGGGCAGCAGGTTAGTGCCCCTCCCTTAATTTCAAAGTTACCCCCTTCTCCATCACACAAAAAAAAGTAATAATAACAAAGCAAAAAAAGACAAAAGCCACTTTTCTTCGTTTTGCTCCAAATATTATGGTATAACAGTCCTACTCCCCCCTCCAACCAAGGAAAATCAATATGCAAGTGATTAATTAAGTTTATTTATAAACTAACAAAAGAAAAATATTTCAACAAAAGTTAAACATACTAACTTCAGTATCCATATATTATTCATTTCTTTACAAGATTAGCTACCTTTAAAAACTTGGGGTTAATATGTATGCTTGGTGGTTGATCCACAGGTTCCTTTGCTGTGATTGGCCAGGCTGGGTCTAATGTTTGGCTAACTCGTAAATCCAGTGCATATAATTTCTTATTTGGCATCAGTTCAGCCCAGGTCTGTCTCAGCTTGAACATGGCTTGTCGGGTTTTCTCATCCACCTACATATTTTAATTTGCAATTTTTTGTAGTAAAATATAACAATGTACAGCAATTTAAGTGAAAGAACAAATGGCAATACACTTCTCAATTTTCCTTTTCTTTAAATCTCATTTATTATGAGCTTTACGGGTAAATGGAAGTAAATCAGTGTTCAGACAAGAATGATAGAATGCTATGTATTCTATAAATCAAGAACTATATCTTATGGTCTATTGCATCATAATAAATTTATCGAAACAACAAAGCTATTTCAAAGAGAAGTCGTAAAACTTGCTCCATGTCCCTAAGTAACTTGGTCTTCTTTTTCCCCCTCCACTGAAAATTGTTCCAGGCTTCATTCCTAGATGTTCTGTTGCACATAACCCTCTACTTTCATAAATCCTTTTATTATGTATAATTTATGTATGACTAATATTTCTGTCATAACCAACTAGAAAAGTAGGTAATTAACATGCGTTTTCACATTCGTTTTCTGAGTTTGTAAAAGGAGAAATGTTAATCATCAAAATCAAAATTATTTAAGTGTTGAGTTACAAACTTTATTTTAGACTGTAATACAACTTAAATCAAAAGCCAACCACATTATTTTACAAAAAAAAATCTAGCTTTAAAAAATTAATTGGGTTACTATGTTAACTGTTTCATTGTTAATCAAAATGACACCATTCAGTTGTAGTCATACTTTTACTTAACTGGGCTGAGTTTAAGGAAGAATGAATATTTTCGTCTGGAACAAAAAGACACCGAAGTATTACAAGCAAGAATTTTCCAATAAAAAATGGCTGTGGAGTATCTTTTTCAATCTAACCTAACTTGCGCAACCAAGTTACTTAGAAATATGTGCAGAGTACAGAATCACATTGTATGTTACACCTGGATGAAAAATAATAAATAAGATGCTGACCTTTTCAAATACACCACAGAAAGTTGATACTATGTTCTGAGTGAAAAGGGATAAATAAGGCTCAGTTATGTTCTTGATAATCGAGTCCATCAAATAGAATGTTGGAAGTTTCAACGCAGGTGGTGCCTGGAAGTAAACAAACTATCCATTGCAACGGTTGTTGTGTAACACAATTTAAGGTAGCTTTCATTCCATGATTGGAGTAAACTGAAACCAGCTTCCTTTATCAGGTCCTTTCTTCAAAACAAGGTTTCATCAGAAAATCATGAAAACACATTCAAACTAAGGAGGGGAAATTCTAACACATAGCCTGTGAGATGAGATTCAATCATTTGATAAAAAACTATAAAATATAAGGAGTTATTTAAAGGACCACGAGATTTTGTTACACAACTGATTGAATTTTGTGGAATGCAAGTTTGCATATTTTCATAGACATTTTTTCCAAACAGTTAACTGTGACCATTTCATTTTTTCTTTATTTTGATAATCAAGACATCTCAAATTCACTTTATATTTGTAAAACTGATTCTTTAAGTTTGTTAAACTATAAAATCTCAAAAATGTGGCTCTTTTGTACGACGGTGCTTAGTTCTCATTAGTTACAGAGTATGCAAGTTATTGCCTCTTCAAGGTTTCTTCAGCTAATTCCATCATTTTCACATAATTTGGCTTACACATTAAAATCAAATAGATAAAGTGCTTTGGGCTCCATTATCATTTTTCAAAACCTTTTGGTAATGCATTGTACAGTGAACGTGGAAATTCAATAACAAATCCAGGACTACACTACACTCATGGTTCACAATTTCAACCAGGAGCCAGTTTCACACAAGGACTTCACCCCGAAAACTTGCTCCTCGAAGAGGAGAGTGAGGTAAAAATAATGCCAAAATAGCGCGTTGTACAGTAAAAGATACAAGGTGACCAAATTAATCGAAGGATTTTTTTTTTTTTTGGCTGTTGTCTCTCATATTCTGTCAAAACACAGCCTATATGCACAATTCTATGTATCCCCCTTAAAAGGAAGCTGCTTAATTCCCTGATGGTCTCACCACCTCCACACGCACCATTAAACAGATTACATCTGGGCTCGGAGGGATAACTGCTAGGCTCCTGTAGCGCGGCATGTGTGGTGGGGAGACCATCAGGGAATTGGTCAGTATTGCTTCTAATTAGGTCAACCATCTTGTCAGCAGATCAGCTAGTCTGCAGATCATCTGCTCTGAATGGGCTGTTATGTGACGCTTATTAGTTCTAAAAGTATCCACTAGTTGTCAAGTTCTTTTTTTTTTTTTTTTTTTTTTTGGGGGGGGGATTAAACATGCTCTTTAGAAAAGATTTTAAGCATCAGATTTTGTGGTTCCAGTTAACACCTCTCTCCAGTTACCTAGTAGGGCTCTGCTTTACAAATAGGTTATGTTGAATCATGTGAATTATTATTTGAATATTTTAAATAATAAACAAAATCAAGAAAATAAATACTTTATCCTCTGTACAAGTGCCATCAGTTGTTCATAAACAAATGAACTCTTCTTAAAACTTTGAATACAGTTTGCATTGGTAAAGTGAAAATAAGATTGCATTCCCACAGATTTAAGATCGATCTATCCCCATTGGGAGTCTCACAGCAATTTAGTATGAACCCCCTGGGAGTGTGGTCGATCCAAGTGTATCGATCTCAATCTGTGGGAATGCAGTGTATGTCTCAGAAAAAGCCATGTTGTGTTTGAATTTACATGAACTTACAACTTCTGCAAAGATTCATTTCATATGGCAAATGAAGCCATCAATGATACCCCTCCTCCCTTTTTTTTTTTTTTTTTCTTTTGCATATATTTTCATTAACAAGGGATATTCATGACAGAAGTTAAAGAGGACCCATGCAAAAAAAGGACAACCTCAGGGTGTCTTGAGCCAGTGCTCATAAATTAACTCCCCAACATAATATCAAGCTGGTGAAGACGAAGATTATTTCCATAAGCTCCTACATTCAATGTGAGGGGCTTAGAAAAAAAACATTGTTCAATATCCCTGTAAAAATAGCACCACAGAAAAAAAATTTTCATGTGAAATCTTTTCGAATACTTAAAAAAATAATAAAAAGCCCCAACATCATTTAATGAGAACTTCATATTTTTCAAATGCAAAAAGCAATGTCACCCTCAAATCTTTACAAGATGTATATAGCATCATAAATTTAACACATTCCGGGTTGTAGTTATAATATTGAAATTCTTTGACTCTGTTCCATTTCATTTATTTTTCAGAGCAGAATTTTTCTCTGAAAAGGGTTTATCAATTTGTCCCTTAAATATAGATAATTTCATGTTCAACTTACTGCTCCATTTTATATTTTGTTATTGCTTTGCATGTGAGTAAATTATCACCAAATTTTCAAGAATATCACGATATTAACACGGCATACAACTATGCTAGTCTCCACAGTTATATATCAGTTTACAGATATCAGATGTCGAGGAGCACAGTTGCATTGAATTACAATTCTATTAAAAATATAAATGAATCCACTTATTATATTTCTCTTGTAGCGGTATGCGAGGTAAATGCGACATCCAGTTGAGATAGACTTGTGTTAAGTGCCACTTTCACACAGTTCAGGGTATTAATATTGTTTCTCTCCCTCCTCCATGTTATATTGACATAATGAAGTGGAGCATGACATGTCACTCGACTTTTATCATAGAAATGGGACATCATTGTTGGTGTGTTAGACTGAAACAATCTTTTTTACGGGCAGCTCAAGCAGTTTTCTGTGATTACTATTTAAAATCTACCCGATTATATATTAACTACATGAGACAACAATTTTTAGTGCTCGGCGAAGATAAAATACAAATACCAAGTGATTTTCCCCACATTTCTTCTGCTTCATATTCCAGATCCAATCGCGTGTGATACATCAGCGGAGAAGATGCTTTCAACATTAAGCTTTTATTACCATTTTGTTGAAGGCACAGCTATGCACTGCTGCTTGATTCTGATACGGAAATATCAGAACATGAGTGAGTGGTGATAGAAACTCCGACCTCTTTTTTCCTCCTCATTTAATACAACATAGTTTTACCACCACCCATCCCACACCATGCATTTAATTTTGTGACAAGACCAACCTTATTATCATTTAATCACAGTGATAAATTCTGTAGATATCTTATACAGAATCACAAATAAAATTTTCGAGAAGGCTTGTGTACTCTTAGACCCCATTCCCACAGATTTTATATCGATCTATCCCTGTGGGGAGTCTAACTAGATTACTGTCAGCTTAGCCAGCTTAAGCGTCTGTCCCACCTACTAAAAGCTGTAAGGGGGTAATTAACTACTGTGCGCGCTCGGCTGACTGCAATTTAGTGTGAACCCCCAGGGAGTTAGGTCGATCCGGATGGATCGATCTAAATCTCTGGGAATGCACTCTTACATTTAGGTCATTACATATAGTAACCGTGCAGAATATGTGGCAAAAAAATGTCGAATGTCAGTTGCTTCAGAAAACTTTGTCCTGATTTCCATAGGAAGAAGTCTTCATGGTTTCTTCAGGATACAACAGTTTCAGGACCACAAGTTCTACTGTAGTGTCGCAGTAGCTCCTCTTTTTCAGTCAGTTATCTGCAACTGCTTTCAGCTTGGGAGTGGCAGAAAGGAAGGGTGTCGATGTACAGATAAAAAAATGGGGTTACTTCATGATTAATTCGCGGTTCAAATACTTATTGAATCAAACTGGGAAACACTGGTCAGTTTGCCTTGAAACTGATAGCTCGTGGAGTTCAAAAATTAACAATGTTTCATTTTCTTTTCATAACTGCCACTGATACAGATCCAAACAGGCAGTTCTGAATTGGATTTCACTAATTATCTTAGGGTCCGATTATCTTACATGTTAGCATGTTAAAACAAATCCCCCCCCCCCACCCCCTGATCTAGGATCATATGCACACCCATTAGTGATGTCCTCTTGAAAAATCTATGAACAACCACGCGTCTGCAGAAATGCAGAGAATGATTTTCATTTACGAAAATGTATATTGTGACTACCGAAAAAAGCATGCAACACATTGGTGTAAAAAAAATTGCAAACAACATGGAAATCTTTTATTTCTTTTATTCTGCTGTCTGACATCAGAATTTTTTATTTGATGGAGAAGTAATACCTATCAAACAAATGTAATGAGAGTAATGTATTCATTGTCTTAAAACAACATAATACATTACAACAGACTGGGAAATAAATTAATACTTATCTAAGTTTGCATTTGATGAAGTATAAGCAGATGTTTATTAATGTTATGTGAAATATACCAACACCTTTAGCCTTGTAGGACTGCCAATACTTGAAACAATTGAAAGAGCAATTACTAATTCCCTATTTAACATCAACTTCATATCTAGCTTTGATGCAATTCACCTGAGCACTGTTTTTATGAATTTGAACCATATGGTCTATTGGAAAGTCTAAAAACCAAAGTGCAAGTTGAACAGAGGAATGCATCCATCCTTTGTTTCAATGCCATAACACAAAATATTTAAATTATAATAGTCAAATGTTGGCTTTCCTACAAAATAAACCGACATATAAGTCAAACGTGACGAGAATACTTCAACAAAAACATTTCTCAATTTCCAAGGTCACACGATATTACTGAACCACGTGACCTGTATTTCAATATGTCCTTATGTTTCGTATTTTCACTAACACACTACCATACTTTCAAGAATTTAAATCATTAAAACTTTCTTAAACCTTTTGTAAGTGGGCTTCGATAACTTGGACGATCTGTGGTGCATACTGCTTGTGATCTTCTGCCAGCATCGTCAGCATGTTGATTAGCGGCTTGCTGTTGCAATTTAGGTCAGCCAGTGACGATCTGTACTCTTCTACTGCCTCTGTCGCCATCTTTTAATCTGTCTTCCCGTTCCTTGGACTTTTGTGTGCCTGTATGGCAATTAAACAAAGTTATATTTACATCCACATAGTGGTAAACTAACAAAAGGTTGTAACTAAAATATCTTTGGCACAAAAATGGCGTCCTCCTTGAAGTGATGTTAAATCGAGGCTTAAACGTTTCCCCAAAGCTGTCTTGTTTCCTCACCTGCCATTGGTTCGAATGTAGACAGATTTTACAAAGAATTCATTCGACCTCACTTGGGATTGACCAATGAATGCAAAGAATACAAATAGTGTTTTGAAAAAAAATAGAGGTTTACCATTTAATGATAGAAACATTTTCTGTCCTCACACATTTAGATATACATTTTCAGACTTTAACTCAAAACGCATATCGCCTTAAGACGTCTAACCACATCGAGTTGCATTTTGAAAACGCCCAAGCTGGTCTGTCAATGCGTGACGTCATGTTCTAATTTTAGTTCGCAGTGCTGAGGTCAGATTTGTTGTGAACAGACAGTGTGTTGACACTCCGAAAATAAACTTGCAGCCGGACATCCTACCTTTATACTTATATTGACCAGCGTCCTGCCACCGTGGATTTGACAACTGCATGGATCATACACGGAGCTGACTCAACCCTTTCTTGAAGGATATAAGAGAGTTGTTACCAACAAACAGTCAAAATTCAAGAAAAGATTGGTAAAGCACCATGAAAGCATAGCGGCACAAAGTCTTGTGGAGAACGCCGATAAAACTGCTGTGATTTACAAGTAAGTTTTCACTAAAGCATAGAGGGAGAATAATATAGATTAAAACATTCAGATCGAGGGAACCAATTTATGTACCTGTACTAAAGCTGCTCCCTGTGAAATTTATTTCCACCAGTTATACACGCATTTGCAATGTACTAGTACTCAAGTGGTTATAGACGTTTTGGAAATGACAGCCTGCAGATAAGAATTATAAAGAATGCATTTTTATTTTTTTGCAAAATATTCAGGTACGGTATCAAACCTTGACCAGTTTCTATATCCCTGTATCAGGACCGAAGAGGAATCCATATAACAAGTACCAAGCATCTCTTGGACCATTGTTGACCATTGAATTAAATAACTTTAAAATCAACTCAAACTTAGCTCTTCTTTTTTTTCAGGATCCCAATGTCTTGGCCAGTGTCCACATAGCTTTAAAGGAATGGAAGACTACAAATACCTGTTTAAGGTAGTACTCATTGGCAATGCTGGAGTTGGAAAGACATGTTTGGTCAGACGGTTTACTCAGGTACATGTAATAAATTACTATTAGAAGTTAAATATGTGCACTCGCATTGGTGTGTGCAAACAGAGGTGTATAAAATGATACTCCTATACACTGGTGAATGCACATATGCAATCACACACACACACACACACACACACACAAACATTGGAATTATGGAATATTACCATTTTTGGCCAGTCACATAATATAAGCTGTGTAATATAATTTCAATGTTGAATAGACAATTAAGTTGCCAAGAAAATATTCAAAACTAAGGATGATGTCATTTTGCTTTTGTGAGTCACAGTGTTCACAGCCATATAGTAGCTATGTGTGTGTGTGTGTGTGTGTGTGTGTGTGTGTGTGTGTGTCTTTTCTTCTAGTGAGAGAGGGTGGGGGAATACATTAAATATTTTGTTTGGAACAGGTCTGGGGCTACACCACTTGTACCTGCTTTCATCTATTGGAGGATATTATACTGTATATTTCACCACCTGCAATATATGTAGCAGCTCTTAGCAAATTTTGCATTGGTGTTAATGAGTATGCCTGGTTAAAATGGATATAAACTCATAGCACCACTCAAGAGTGACAGAGTTCTTGGGCTCATTAAACACTTGATAAAAAAAAAAATGAATCTTCCTTTCAACCCTTGATGGATTCAGGCAAATATTGCTTATTGTTCTCCATAAGTGTACCAGTAGAATGGGTTCAAGCATAGTCTCTCTAGCCTGACTAGCTCTAGTACGTGTATGCCTCAACATCATTGATAATTATTTTTTAGTGACAGGTTCTTCACTCTTTTTACTAATAAACCAGAATAAAAATCAGGTCAGGGTAAAGGCTAAACAATTCTGGTAAATTTCTGATATGAACAATCTGGTTTGCAAATATCTGCGAAGTAAGTCAAAAATGCTTGAATTAAGCGTACTAAATTTACTAAATTTAGCACATTCATTCCATATGTATATAAAAAAAGGTTCATTACAAGAGCTTTGACCGATTTCTTGCCAAAATGGCCTTTAATTTCTTTTAGTATTGATTAAGGCAAATTTATTCATGGCCATTTGTTAAGTGATAAAACAAATTAGTAGTATACTTTATACCCAGGTGTTGTGTACATGAACTGTACCTGTGTTGCGTGTATTAAACCTCTGGTAAACTTTACTAGAACATTGGGATGTATTGTGCTAAAAATGTGAAATTTCCATCGCTTAAAAAATTTATTAGTATTTTTAAATGCACGAATCCAACAAACCCACATTTTGTCACCTTAAACATTATGGAGAGGCCCATTTTCAAGTTTGACAAAATTTTCAAATTGTGGAGGTGGAGAAGGGTTTTCCGACAAAATTTTCAAGACGGAATAAATTTTCAAGTTTTTACTGTATGACATACAAGGAGCATAACCCAGCACACACAAAGCATTACTCTACATTTGAGACACAGATCAATACCACTGAGTCTACAGATGTAGACCAGAAACACCCTGACCCAGNACCCCCCCCCCCCCCCCCCCCGATCTAGGATCATATGCACACCATTTAGTGATGTCCTCTTGAAAAATCTATGAACAACCACCGCGCAATATGTCTGCAGAAATGCACAGAATGATTTTCATTTACGAAAATGTATATTGTGACTACCGAAAAAAGCATGCAACACATTGGTGTAAACAAAATTGCAAACAACATGGAAATCTTTTATTTCTTTTATTCTGCTGTCTGACATCAGAATTTTTTATTTGATGGAGAAGTAATACCTATCAAACAAATGTAATGAGAGTAATGTATTCATTGTCTTAAAACAACATAATACATTACAACAGACTGGGAAATAATTCAATACTTATCTAAGTTTGCATTTGATGAAGTATAAGCAGATGTTCATTAATGTTATGTGAAATATACCAACACCTTTAGCCTTGTAGGACTGCCAATACTTGAAACAATTGAAAGAGCACTTACTAATTCCCTATTTAATATCAACTTCATATCTAGCTTTGTTTTTACGAATTTGAACCATATGGTCTATTGGAAAGTCTAAAAACCAAAGTGCAAGTTGAACAGAGGAATGCATCCATCCTTTGTTTCAATGTCATAACACAAAATATTTAAATTATAATAGTCAAATGTTGGCTTTCCTACAAAATAAACCGACATATAAGTCAAACGTGACGAGAATACTTCAACAAAAACATTTCTCCATTTCAAGGTCACACGATGGATATTACTGAACCACGTGACCTGTATTTCAACTGTCCTTATGTTTCGTATTTTCATTAACACACTACCATACTTTCAAGAATTTAAATCATTAAAACTTTCTTAAACCTTTTGTAAGTGGGCTTCGATAACTTGGACGATCTGTGGTGCATACTGCTTGTGATCTTCTGCCAGCATCGTCAGCATGTTGATTAGCGGCTTGCTGTTGCAATTTAGGTCAGCCAGTGACGATCTGTACTCTTCTACTGCCTCTGTCGCCATCTTTTAATCTGTCTTCCCGTTCTTTGGACTTTTGTGTGCCTGTATGGCAATTAAACAAAGTTATATTTACATCCACATAGTGGTAAACTAACAAAAGGTTGTGACTAAAATATCTTTGGCACAAAAATGGCGTCCTCCTCGAAGTAATGTTAAATCGAGGTTAAAACGTTTCCCCAACGCTATCTGTTTCCTCACTTGCCATTGGTTCGAATGTAGACAGACTTTACAAAGATTAATTCGACCTCACTTGGGATTGACCAATGAATGCAAAGAAAACAAATAGTGTTTTGAAAAAAAAATTGAGGTTTACTAAATAATGATAGAAACATTTTCTGTCGTCATTCATTTAGATCTACATTTTCAGACTTTGACTCAAGAAACATATCGCCTGAAGACGTCTAACCACATCGAGTTGCATTTTGAAAACGCCCAAGCTGGTCTGTCAATGCGTGACGTCATGTTCTATTTTTAGCTCGCAGTGCTGAGGTCAGATTTGTTGTGAACAGTGTGTTGACACTCCGAAAATAAACTTGCAGCCGGACATCCTACCTTTATACTTATATTGACCAGCGTCCTGCCACCGTGGATTTTACAACTGCATGGATCATACACGGAGCTGACTCATATGTCAACCCTTTCTTGAAGGATATAAGAGAGTTGTTACCAACAAACAGTCAAAATTCAAGAAAAGATTGGTAAAGCACCATGAAAGCATAGCGGCACAAAGTCTTGTGGAGAACGCCGATAAAACTGCTGTGATTTACAAGTAAGCTTTCACTAAAGCATAGAGGGAGTATGATATAGATTAAAACATTCAGATTGAGGGAACCAATTCATGTGCCTGTACTAAAGCTGCTCCCTGTAAAATTTATTTCCACCAGTTATACCATGCATTTGCAGTGTACTAGTATTCAAATGGTTATAGAAGTTTTGGAAATGACAGCCTGCAGATAAGAATTATAAAGAATGCATTTTTTTTTGCAAAATACTCAGGTACGGTATCAAACCTTGACCAGTTTCTATATCCCTGTATCAGGACCGAAGAGGAATCCACATAACAAGTACCAAGCATCTCTTGAACCATTGTTGACCATTGAATTAAATAACTTTAAAATCTACTCAAACTTAGCTCTCCTTTTTTTCAGGATCCCAATGTCTTGGCCAGTGTCCACATAGCTTTAAGGAATGGAAGACTACAAATACCTGTTTAAGGTAGTACTCATTGGCAATGCTGGAGTTGGAAAGACATGTTTGGTCAGACGGTTTACTCAGGTAATAAATTACTATTAGAAGTTAAATATGCGCACTTGCATTGGTGTGTGCAAACAGAGGTGTATAATATGATACACTGGTGAATGCACACATGCAATCACACACACACACACACACACACACACACACACACACATTGGAATTATGGAATATTACCGTTTTTGGCCAGTCACATAATATAAGCTGTGTAATATAATTTAAATGTTGAATAGAAAATTAAGTTGCAAAGAAAATACTTAAAACTGAGGATGATGTCATATTTTGCTTTTGTGAGTCACAGTGTTCACAGCCATATAGTAGCTATGTGTGTGTGTGTGTCTTTTCTTCTAGTGAGAGAGGGTGGGGGAATACATTAAATATTTTGTTTGGAACAGGTCTGGGGCTACACCACTTGTACCTGCTTTCATCTATTGGAGGATATACTGTATATTTCACCACCTGCAATATATGTAGCAGCTCTTAGCAAATTTTGCATTGGTGTTAATGAGTATGCCTGGTTAAAATGGATATACTGCAGTAAACTCATAGCACCACTCAAGAGTGACAGAGTTCTTGGGCTCATTAAACACTTGATAAAAAAAAATGAATCTTCCTTTCAACCCTTGATGGATTCAGGCAAATATTGCTTATTGTTCTCCATAAGTGTACCAGTAGAATGGGTTCAAGCATAGTCTCTCTAGCCTGACTAGCTCTAGTACATGTATGCCTCAACATCATTGATAATTATTTTTTAGTGACAGGTTCTTCACTCTTTTTACTAATAAACCAGAATAAAAATCAGGTCAGGGTAAAGGCTAAACAATTCTGGTAAATTTCTGATATGAACAATCTGGTTTGCAAATATCTGCGAAGTAAGTCAAAAATGCTTGAATTAAGCGTACTAAATTTACTAAATTTAGCACATTCATTCCATATGTATATAAAAAAAGGTTCATTACAAGTGCTTTGACCGCTTTCTTGCCAAAATGGCCTTTAATTTCTTTTAGTATTGATTAAGCCAAATTTATTCATGGCCATTTGTTAAGAGATAAAACAAATTAGTAGTATACTTTATCCCCAGGTGTTGTGTACATGAACTGTACCTGTGTTGCGTGTATTAAACCTCTGGTTAAATTTACTAGAACATTGGAATGTATTGTGCTAAAAATGTGAAATTTCCATCGCTTAAAAAATTTATTAGTATTTTTAAATGCACGAATCCAACAAACCCACATTTTGTCACCTTAAACATTATGGAGAGGCCCATTTTCAAGTTTGACAAAATTTTCAAATTGTGGAGGTGGAGAAGGGTTTTCCGACAAAATTTTCAAGACGGAATAAATTTTCAAGTTTTCACTGTATGACATACAAGGAGCATAACCCAGCACACACAAAGCATTACTCTACATTTGAGACACAGATCAATACCACTGAGTCTACAGATGTAGACCAGAAACACCCTGACCCAATACAATTCTTGCTGATGCCGACTAGCTCCTACTTATAAGTACACCCCTGAGATTTTCCCCTGTAGAATTTAGACTAGTTGCAGTGGTAATAATTTTAAGATTATTGCTATCAAGTAGATTCCCTGAATTGATTGCCAATCCTTGTGGAATATTTAACAAGTGGTGTGATTTTTTATTGCTTTATTTTGATGGGCTATAGTATTTTTGTCTTCACTTTTGATTTAGCCTTGTTACCAAAAAGTATTGTACCCAGAATTGCAAATTAAAATTTTCTACCAAAATCAGCGAAAAAATGCAAATATGCTCATTATTTTCTAGCCAAACAAAATTATTCCAATCCATTGCTGAAATATATAGGTGAACATGCTATGCTGCATGCAACAAATCATCAGTTGAAGTGGTTTTATATGTCTAGATTCAAAGCTGTTAAAATGCCATCACTTTTTCTCTATCTTAACTAAATTGGAACAATCATTTTATAGATCCTATAAAGATAAAGTGTATTCAACGTGGTAATTGCATTTCCCATGCATGGACACCAATACGCAGTTCAGTAAAAAAATTGGTCATTGATGATAGCATTTCTGCCATAAAGCTAATGTAATAGCATAACCCACTCACTGTATGTATTTATGCATGCATTTTTTTTCTTTCACCGTTAATATCCTTGGTATTCAGTTTTGCACTCTGTTTTGTATTCTGCTGCCAGCACCATGATAAGTAATGAATGTATAACATACACATTTTGAATAACTACGGTTAACAGCCCTCACATTTCAAGGATTTCTTACCATAAGTACTAGAACTTTGTTTTCAGGCATCTATTGTAAAACACATGATAAACTGTTATGCACATGTGGCACTTCTGCCTGCTACAATGTTAATTGTTGTTGAATGAAAATGCCTATGATGCCATTGTGCATTATCATAGAGGTTCATCATATTTGAACAGAAAAAGTTAATTATTTATATTACCAGTGGATTTAGGTTTAAGAACAAACCATGTCTGTGTTCTGTGAAACAATTAATATAGCTCCAATAAATACTGATATCAAGGATATTTTCAGCTGTGGTTTTGGTGATACAGGATTCCATAGTGACACCCTCGTAGCTCTTAGTATAAAAGTATATACATATCTAGCTGGTATTCAGTCTCAACAGAAGTGTCAGTATAACCCAACTGTTCAGAACCCAGACAAAATCCATTAGTGTTGCTAAAAGTGGGGATAACTATTGATTTTTGTCTCTTTGTTTTGTTTGATAAGCAGAGCATTACTCATTGGAACTGGGATGAAACGGAATATTGAAAAAGAGATGATGATTATTATTAGACCAGAAAAACAAAAAAATAACCTGTTTAGAAGATCCAGAATTTTTGTTCGTTTTCCACACTGTGTAATGATTCCTATGGGGACAGTACTACCAGACTGTTCCTGGTAAGAAAACATATGCATGTGGCCATTTGGAGAGGATCAATATCATTGCATATCACCAGTAGGAGTAAGAATTAGAGTCAATTTTTTTAGCAGATCAGTGATTCATTTTGCAAAAGACATGATAGTCAGCATTATTGTAGATATGTTTTTGTCCTTATACAGTCGGAGAATAGCTGTAAAGCTAATGTTTCCATTCAATTTGTAACCGACATGAAATAAAATTTATTGTATTGTATTGTATTGTATTGTGATTTATATTAAGTCAGATTATAGAGTGTGTGTGTGTGTGTGCATGTGTGTATGTGCTTGTGTGGCCATTTTTTTTTCTTTTTTTTTTAAGGAGATAGCCAGGCTTGTTGGCTTACTATAAATGTTATTATTATTTTAGCATGCATATTTTGCTTATACATGTACCTGAAAATGTGTAATCAAAATTTCTGTAAAGTTGTGTTGGAAATACTTGTACTAGATTTGATTTCTTGGTGCAGAGTGTTTTAGGACATTGTTCTCTCCTGTCCAGACAATGACTCTCTTAAATACATGTTATCTGGAGACAGGATGGATCTGATGGCTAGATAAAGATTCTCTTAATGTATAAACCAAAATATTTATATTCACAACTCTCATGCTATCAGACATGAATACTGTGCTCTCACTAAACCACAGACAATATCAACATATATATATGTAACCACAGATATAGTCAAAACTCTGGGCAGTAATTTTCTGTCATTATCTACTTGTTTACCTATCTATGCAAAGTAAAATGTAATGTCTTTTGAACATCCTTGATACCAATAAAACATGCAAAGATTTATGCATATTTTATAAGCTTATAAGCATCAAGCAGTTCACCTTTGTTTTAAAGGTCTGGTACATAGAAGTTCAATTGTGATATTGTTCCCCTTATTTGACCTGTAGCATATTAATAGATTCCAATTCAAATTTTAGGGCCTTTTCCCTCCAGGACAGGGTGCCACCATTGGCGTAGATTTTATGATCAAGACTGTGGAAGTTGATGGAGACAAGGTCAAGGTTGGTGCACAATGTCAGGGTCTTCTTATACCAAAAAAGAATAGGCAAAGGTCACTGTTATGCTAAATTATAAATACTACTTTGTTGAAACTAAAACTAAATGTGATGATTGCTAAAATTGATACTTTTTAAGTAAATTTTTAAAGGACAAAAGAATATTTTAGGTACATCCAATTAAAATCTGCATTTCATATTTAGAAAACTTTGTTAAATGCAACCAAATAGTTGTCATTTCTATGTTACAAAAACCACTAGTTCAGTGCAGATATTTATGTTATTGGCTCTCAGCTTCAGATCTGGGACACTGCAGGCCAGGAGAGGTTCCGCTGTATAACCCAGAGCTACTACCGCTCTGCCAACGCTCTCATACTGGTCTATGATATCACATGCCAACCCACATTTGACTGTCTTCCAAACTGGATTAAAGAAATTGATACCTACGCAAGCTCAAAAGTATTGACATATCTTGTAGGTGAGTGATTTGAAAATGGGGCTGGGTATTGCGATTTGATGAATTAGAAACCGTTCTTAGACTAGTAATGAAGGTGGAGGTACCCTCTACCATGCTGCAGAGAGAAGTTTTTTCAGTAGATATTCACATATTTTCTGGTTATTTTCTAGCTTTTTAATTTCCAGTGTGGTAAAGTTAAATTATTTTATTTTTATTGTCTCCCATAGGTAACAAAAGTGACAGACTTTTACACAGAGAAATCCCTGCAGAAATCGGCGAACATTTTGCCAAGCAACACAGTATGCGATACTTAGAGACCTCCGCCAAGGAGGCAGAAAATGTGGACAGACTTTTTACAGAAATTGCTGTGGAGCTCACAAAGCAAGCAAAGGAAAACTTCTTACGCCCAAGACAAGACAGTACCTCTGGTAAAGTGGGAATGCCTAACGGAGGTTCTTCCCCTGTAGGAGGGCTCTCCTGCTGCAAATTAAATTAATTAGGTTTAATTTAGTTATACTGATGCTGTGACTGTCCATGAAGCTATGAGTCTTGGGGGGGGGGGGGATTTCTGCAAAGAGGACCTAGAGTTAAAATGTGAGCATCACACTACAGATAATGATACAGAACGTGGGAGGCAAGCATGGAGAGAACTCTCTTCCGTCATGTCACAGGCTGCTTATATGCCTAAAGGGGTGGGGTGAGGGGTAGCATCCTATGTGAGTGGCTTTTTGTATATTTTGTGAATATTTGTTCCACATTCTACATGTGCTAGTATGTGAATCCTGTGGTACATGTATTAATGTGTACATGTTGTATGGCTTTTTACCATATTTTAGGACGTAAAGTTACCACATATTTCTACAGTGGTATGATATCAATACAGCAGATAGGTAGATATATGCTGCTGGTATGGCGAACAGAACAGAACAGGTTGTTTCAGGTGGAATAACTGTGTTCATTGTCGCGAAGGCATTTATATATGATGAAAAGCCTCTTGTCAATTGTGTGAGGAGAAAGATTTGTAGTCCATAGAGTGTTATAAGAATTCAAATTTCTTTTAACAGTTTTAGGAGAATTATCAAGGGGTTAAGAATTTTAAAATTACTTTTAGGCATTTAATAAGAAAATGTTCATAAAGAGAGGAAAAAGACACCAACCCCAAAACTTTTAAAGGGATGACCTTGTTGGGAGGGGTAGGGGTGGAGTCTGAAATCATGGTCCCATGTACACCAACTTCATAAACTTTTTCTTCACATCAAACATTTGTTACATTTATTTACAGAACCTATAGCATCACTTCAGTAGTAAAAGCTCCAGCAATGTTTAAAACGTGGTAATGATAACTCTCAGCCAATTTTAACAATTGTGATGCTTATTATAATACAGGGAAAATTAGATCATGAGGGTAGATGATATCATGCAGGTTTTAGTTATTTCCACTCCAGCCATCTTTACAAGTGGAGATCTGTGATAAGTTATATTGTGTAGCTTTCTGTCAAGGTGCTTTTATTTACTGTATGGAAACCATTTTAATTGGGTGTCTGTTGCTTACATATATCTGATAGACAGTAAAGTATTCAGAATCTCCTCTCGGTACTTGTCAGATAAACTTCGCACAATCATGCAGAATCTGTTCTATGTTTTGGATATATATATATATATATATATATATATATATATATATATATATATATAGTCATTGGGGTTGAGGCAGAAAGGCATCTGCTTTTGCTGTGATTTTTCAAAATCAGAATTTTTGAGAAAACTGACAGAGACAGAGTGCACCAGAACCTCCTTCTGCCAGGATGGTTTGTCTTTTTCAATATTTATCCCCAGAGTAAAGGCCGAAGCATGGGGTCTCTATATAGGTCAAATAAGTAGTGTAATTCTTTAATTGTTTATCAATTTGAAAAACATATGTCAATTATTAATTGTCTAGAAAAACATTTTTTTAATTGAAACCCTTGTCAATGATCTCTGCAAAATGTTTTCTATGGTTTGTTCATGTATTATTTACCTCATTGTAACAAAATGATAACAGTTTGAGTACTATATGTTCAAGAGACTTCAAACACGTAATATTTACATGGCTTTTCATGTATTTTTATTACAGGTTATAACACATTCAATTTCATGGTCTATATGTTTCGAGGGATAAATCTTAATGCCTGTTATTGCCTGTATGATTTAACAGTGGCATGCTGCTTCCAACCAGAACTATCAGTCTTCAGTTTTAGAACTTGATGAAACTTATTGTTGCTTATACAGTATTTTTGTGCCATGTTCTTTATTAAGTGTTTGTAAAATGCTGCAGGAGCAGAAAAATTTGTGCAAGTCAGTTTTTAGTTTGCATATTGACATAGTGGAAAAATAGTGGTTTTGCTTAATTGATCTTGGAAAAACTTTATTTCTTACATGCATTTTTGTTTTGGACATGGACCAATTTGACTTAAGACTGGTTTGGTTAGAGATTTATAGCTTGTTGGATAAACAAACAGGCTGCATTAAACACACAACACCCTGTGTTGAATGATTTTTGTGGAGTTTCCTACACATATGGTTGGTAGGCCTGAGTTATTGTTGTTAGTCTATAACTGGGGCTAACAGGTCTTTTGCCTGCTCCCAAATTTGGAATCATTCTCTACCCACTGTCAGAACTAAGGGACTGAATTGGACATGCTCTGTAGGCAAAAAAGAGTCTTGAGAGTGAGCTTTCTATTTTTGTTAATGCAAACAATTTTTGTGCTAGTTTGGAGTGCAATATGTTTTATTTTTGTGCTTTGTTTTTGATTTATATATGCGGAGTTGATTTCATTTATATTCATATATAAATTGTGACAGATTTATCGAACACCAGAAAATGGTCAGGTTTAAAATGAGCATTATGGGTTCTATTCATTTCGAGTTATTACGTAATGTGAGTCTCTTACTATTTGAAAAGAAAAATATGATAAAATGATAATATTAACATTACAAGGTGCAAGCTCATCGTGCTAGCTTCATAGCCAAGTTATGGACATCCCTAAGAAGGGACATTTGCCATGTGTTGCTGGACATGTAGGAGTCACAATGCCAGTCATATCTCTTATTTTTTTATGCTTCAGGCTGTTTTGAAATGTTAGACATATTTGTACTGTAAGTTTTTAAACATGTATTTTTTCTTTGCATATATATGTAAACGATTTTACTTGCTAGCATATCTGTACGTTTATGTGAAGGTTTTAGATAAGTTTGTACCATTTGTTATTGATGATTTATAAACTGATGATATTTATTGTTGCTTTACAATGTAAAAATAAATTGATCTGTGTTCAGATTGAAAACTGCCTTTTGAGTTGAGATATCAATACCTTAAGTAGTCCTGCTCAGCCACAGTTTTGGTAAGAAAGTTGGTGAACTCGTAAAATACAAGATTTCAATAAATATTATAAGAACTTCAGTAGTTAAATAATAAATAGTTTATTATTGTTAAAATTGATATAACAATTGAACTAACAGACAAACTCAACAGTCTTATTGCCCTGGTGATAATAGAGATCATTTACTTCTAATAAAAATGCTTGGTTTTATATCTACTGGGAACCATCACCTTCAATAATTATAAACATCACTGTAACAATGTTATTGCTTTTAATGCATTATAAAAACGAACTATAAAATTATTAAGATCTATTGTCTACAAAGGCAGCAACTCTGTTTTGCAAATGCCCTCATCTCACCTAACACAATTTAGCAAATGCCCCCGTCTCACCTAACACAATCTTTCTAAAATATGACTAGACATTAAAAAGGAATTCAAATGTTCATTTCTCTTAAATTTCTACACATAGCCTGGCCAGTACAAAATATGTAGATATATAAATATTTATGAGCAATTGCCTAATTTTAAACATTTGTCATTTATCACTTTTACCATCTACTCCAAAAAACACCTGAAACATTTTGGCACAATCATGTTTCTCTAGAAACTGAAAAAACAACCCCAAGTCCATGTGATACTCTCTCCCCTTCCCAGACCTTGGCACAAAATTCTTTTCCTCAAAGTTTTCAAACTTTCTCAATTCCCCGACTGACTTCCCTTGTTCAATCTCACAAATTTCTTTCTCTTTGATCATGATGCGTTTCCAGCTGAGCCTCCTGAATCTGTGCCAGTATATTTCAATGTCCGTGTCATATCCCTCTAAACACACAATGCCAGGTTTGCCTGGAAGACAGAATCCAGTGAGATTCAGCTCCTTGGCCCATTCTATGATATCATGCCTTTTAAACTTGCTAAAAATATGATGACTATAAATCCACAGTCTTGAAAACGTAGTATCCTGCAGATCTGCTTTTTGTTGTTTCTCCAAATCTTGGGCCTCAAATGGCTCTTTTTCTATGTAGTTGTTAAAATTTTCTTGGACCCATTGGACTATACTGGAGATGCATATTTCCCCCTCCTCCATGGCTTGTATAAACTCCTGCAGGTCTTCACTGAACTGTTTGTATTGCTGACGTGATATGTAGTTGGTTCTGGTGAACACCTCCGGTAAAACTGATGGATATTCATGAGGAAGACGGCAGACTAAGTCAAGCTCTGACACCTTACCCTGGAATAAATAACGTTCTGATAATAAATATGAAATAATTAGAGCTTTCTAAAGAGGGATACTGGTCTGAATAATCATGCTGTACATCTACAGGATAGTACTTTTATCTTATTTATTTTATTTTATTCAACTTTACTTATTTTATTTTATTCAATTTTATTTGATCTTAATTATAAAAAAATACAAAAGATGTAGGTAAAACTGGCAGTACATGTTACATGCCTAGATAGGTGTGTGTTCTACTGAGAAAGCTGCCAAATAAAATGAAATACCTTAACATTTTTAAATAAATAAATTTGGAGATCAAATATATACGATTGCATAAAAGCAGCTTTTGCTCACCTCTTCCCCTTCAAGCTTCAACTTTAATGTAAAGCTGATTCGGTCATGAAAATCTGTGTAGTCAGTGTCACCATCCAGAAATTGCTTGATGTGATCGGTGACATAAGGATCGTCCAAAACAAACTCTCCTGGGTTAGAGTACATACTTTGCATTAGCTCCACCTCTGCACACTGAAGCTCTAACATCTCACGAACAAGTTCAACTGATACCTCTTCCTCCATTGTGGGATTCTCCAAGAGAAAAAACTGCACATCTGGTACATCACATTATGTAAAGTTAGTATGAAGGGTGCACAGTGCTGGACGTGGAATCCCTAATTATGTCATTTATCAGACTCGTCCCGTAGTTTAGTGCCCCCATATATTCCAACAGTAAAACCACTTTTTATGGATAATTTATTACCATGTTTATATAAAAACATATATTTTACATAATGTAACTTTTTTATAATTAAAAAATGATAAATGCAGACAATAAAACTAAAATAAGTTGGAGGGGAATTGAACGTGGAACAAACCATGTTATGTGACGTCAGAGACAGAGCTCCCGCGAAAATTAGTATCTAAACTAATGTAAAACGGAGTTAACTTAGAGTTGAAATAGTGGACTTGATATAGCAAAGTATTCCAAGCAAGGAGATGAGTCTCTGGGTAGATAAGCATCGGCCAACCACACTAGGAAAGTTAGACTATCACAAATCGCAAGCTGTATTGCTGAAAAAACTGGTAATTATTGCTGTCCACAACTAAACATGTCTACTAGTACACATTTACAGTGTAGACTCTATTTACTGTTTCTGATATGGTTTTGCAAAAGACACCGAGAGATTGATAACCGTATTATCATTAATAATTGGGGAAATATTAGGTTTATTGACAAAATTACATACTGTATAATATACTATATACATGTACATGATGTACTTCAGCTCATGTGAAAAATGAAGCATTTACTGTAAATGACTGAGGTTAAGACTTTGTGATGCAGGATTGAAAGTGAAGCCTTACCTACACAGTATGACAGAATATAATATTTATGTTGCCTAGGTTCAAGATGGTGACTTTCCCCACCTGTTAATCTACGGCCCCTCAGGGGCGGGCAAGAAGACGCGTATCATGTGTCTGCTGCGGGAGCTGTATGGGTCTAGTGTGGAAAAGCTCAGGATAGAACACCACAGCTTCACCACTCCTTCCAAGAAGAAGTTAGAAATCTCCACAGTTGCCAGTAATTATCACATTGAAGTGAATCCCAGGTATGGCAATGATTTTGAGAGGGTGGTTTAATTCATACTAATGTTAACATTTACCTAGTATCTCTGCTGTGCCATTTAATATTTAATACATTTAAAAATGCCATGGCATAGACATTTTTTATGTGAGCTTGTTTTCTTCATATATTATATTTGTATTGCATAACTATTATGATTGTTTTACAGTGTTTTTACAATGTACAGTATAAAACTCATCAATTTCAGTGATGTAGGACACAATGACCGTGTTGTCATCCAGGAACTCCTCAAGACGGTGGCCCAGTCCCATCAGCTGGAGACCTCCACTCAGAGAGACTTCAAAGGTGCACTGGAACTTTATATAACAAATTGATATTTTGTTTCATTGAATGATGCATATTGCACATAACTCATATGTACATGTACAAATTAAAACTGAATCTGGATAGATATATTTGAAATCATCTTTCCATTTCCACTTTGATTTGTCTGTGGATGATCCCTAAGTCAAGGCTTCATTGTAGTCACAATAATAATTTCAAATAGATTTAGTTTTATTTTGCACACCTTTACAGGTGATTCAACAATTTTGATATCTTTTTACTTCAGTTGTCGTATTGACTGAGGTAGACCGTCTCAGCAAGGACGCCCAGCATGCCTTGAGACGCACTATGGAGAAGTACATGGCCACCTGTAGGCTGATCCTGTGCTGTAATTCCACCAGTAAAGTGATCCCTGCCATCAGGAGCAGGTGCTTGGGGATCAGGGTCCCAGCACCCACTGTAGAAGAAGTGAGATTTTAAAATAAACTTTCTAAAAGATATTTTTTCATAGTGGTGTGTCATTACTTGTATTTAAGAAGATTCTGCATCAAGTGCATTATTCTGAGTTTTTAAAGTTTCAACAGTTGGTGCAAACTGATTCGGATCCTGTATGAAAGGAAAGGCTTGTATATGAATTTTTCTTCTTTTTCTAATTTTTTAATAAGAAGTTATGCGGCTTAATTTATAATCATCAAAATTTCAGTAATAAAGTCACATGTAGAATTTATGCAGTTGATTTACTGGTGCCAGTAAATATTTCAGGTGGTACAGATACTACAGAGCACCTGTAAGAAAGAAGGCCTGACACTTCCCAGTGAGTTAGCCAGGAAGATTGCCGAGAAGAGTAATAGAAACCTCAGGAAAGCACTTCTAATGTGTGAGGCCTGCAAAGTTCAACAGTAAGTAGTCTCATTTACCCAGTACACACCCTATGTCTGACAGCAAAGTACAACAGTAAGTAATCTCATGTTGAATTCTGTTGTCCAATTTCCGTTAGTATAGCCTTTCATTCTATATGAACACCTCTTTCAAGTTCTGATATTTCTGTTTGTTGAGCATTGTATAGAGTAGAAGGGAAGACAATATTTTTTCAACTGTTGCCATATTTTCTGTGACTTCATTCCGTATGCTGTGTAAATGTTGACTGTGTTTATTACTCATATTACAATTCTCATATTATTACATAGATACATGTATTTAGGTGGCTAGTTTATCATATGTTAGCAGAAAACGATGAAACCCTCACTTTCTAACAAAGGTCCCCCAAAATCCAAATGATGATTTCTAGTAGGATTTTATTTAAAGGTTTTCTCTATGGAAATTTTGCATGGATCCTTAAATTTTTTGACAAAAACAATTTTCTCCTAATCACAATTGATTTGTCAGCCTGCCCCCGAACTAATATTCATTGTTTTATTATACCATTTCTAATTTAATAACTTCGTTTTAATTTAATCCAGATTCATTTAGACTGTCATATCTTCTTGACATTTCAGAAAAAAAGATGGACAACAGATTCTTTTTTACGTGTAAAAGATGAATAGTTTTCATGATATATAGAGATAAAAACATGACTGTGGGATATTGTCAAAGGCTCATAGTATACCTTTGATAATAAACTACTCCTTTTATTTCTTCAGGTACCCATTCAGTGCTGACCAGCCTGTGGTGGAGGCTGACTGGGAGATATTCCTACGGGAGACGGCCAACCTCATCGTACAACAGCAAACACCGAAGAGGTAGGTAATGTTGGCAATGTGTACTTTAAAGTGTTTTTTCTCTCTTTGTTTGTTTTTCAAAATAAAAAAAAAATCAAAATTGTGCTATTGATAGGCTGGAATTCATAGGTTAATTTAGCATATTGCCAAAAATAAAGATTTGAAAATAAATATTTGTTTAGCTTGTACGTGTTGTTTTAAGGTTTAACCAGAAATATTTTAACAAGATCTAGTACTCAAGATTGTAATGGGGGGGGGGGGGGTTAGTTTCTTTTCCAGTCAGGCAAAATGATTTTTTTCTAACTTAACAAACTGCACATTCATTTCCTTTTCAATGACTATCAAGGCTATTAGGATAGATTGTTTTTCCAGATTACTTGAAATACGAGGGCGGTTATATGAGCTGCTCACCCACTGCATTCCACCTGATGTGATTATAAAAGTAAGTTTACTCAAACAATTATGCTGTTTCACTCTGAGTAAAACTTCATGGTATCTATGGGAGTAAAACATGAATGTTATACCTTGTCACACTAGCAATTAGTCCATGTAAAAAGTAATAATAATATTTTATAAGTGATAATAATAATAATAATAATAATAATAATAATAATAATAATAATAATAAAAGAGGTCTGTAATTTTAAGCATCGCAATGTGTGGCTATCATCAGAGTTCAACAAAATGTAATAGATTGTCACTCTCCATAATCAACTTACTACTCTTGTCTGGCCTTAATGTGAAGTGCCTGTCCCCTGAGGACTAAAGACTTTGAAAGCCAGTATTCTAGTGTTGGGATGGATCCAGAAAAGTTTTTACAGTGGTTATTGAACCTCCTACACACGTAAATCTACACATGAATTGTGGGAGAAATTCTTTGGATAAGATTTTTAGCAGTTACAGTCAAATCTGCAGTATGATCCTGATAGTACAGCATATTTTTTGTTATCATTTAGGGTTTGGTGAAGGAACTGGTGGGTAGTTGCGATGGTCAGCTGAAGGCGGACGTCACACAGGTTGCCGCCTATTATGAACACAGACTGCAGTTGGGACAAAAGGCCATATTTCACTTGGAGGCTTTTGTGGCCAAATTCATGGCAATATACAAACAGTTTCTTGAGGAAGGAATGGCCGATTTCTTTTGATGCTGCTTTGCGTTGGCAAACTCTAAACTTTGGGATTCAATTGTTGATTTATGTATTTTTTTCACAAGCTTTGATGGCAGTGGAGTTGATAAATGAAAAACCATGAACGGTTTTTAACTATCAGTGACATATCTGCTGACTCACTGATTGGTGGTGTCATTTTATATGATAATAAAGTAAAGAACTATTTGGAGGTGAAATATTGGGAACTCGTTCTGAATGTTTTGTTGCCGTCTTCTTAGACCTGGACATTTGGGTTTTGAACTCTTGGAGGGGGTGTTAGCGAAGCAACGTCTGTTTCCTTCAAAAAGGATAAAAATGTATTGGTTTTTAACTTTTTTTGCATTTTCTGTAAAAGAGGCATACGAAGCTTATTGTGCTTTATTTCAACCGATTTAAAACCAGTTGATGTCAAAAGAAAAAACGGAAAGCATAACATCATTCAATAAGGTCTAAATGAATGCTTTGTTAATAAAAACTCAGAGAAGGAAACTTGGACAGAAGCTTTCGGTTGCAATCGATGCCAGTAATCTGGTACGAAGGCTTTTTTTCCTTTTTTTTTTAATTAAAAGAAATTGTACTTTAAATGCATTCTTAAAAAGCTTGCTAAATATTTTTATTCGTTGTCGCGCACATAAAAAGTAAAGCACAGGAGATCGACCGTCCATGTGGTTATCCTCAAACTGAGCACTGCAACCGCACACTTCCATTTATAAAAGATACAAAATGAGCAATAACAAAGAAAGATGAAAAAAGACGCCTTTGTCTATATCAACACGTAGAGATCGTCGGGATCTCTGCAGTTCGTGTTGTGTGCCCACCAGTTCTCCAAAGTGGTGTGAAACGTTCGTCTGCCATGAGCCTGGTTGAGTTTGGCGCACAGTTCACACCAGTGGGCGCCACTAAACATGGCCCTGTTCGCCGTGGCAATGTACTTGTTCTTCCACTCAAAATATTGATCACATTTCCTTGGATTTTTATCCAGAAAGTTTAAATATTTCGCCAAACGGGCAGGTGTTTTGAAATCCTTTGTATTGATAAAGGAATACGGCGCGTCCAGGGCGTTCAGATTGGCACCGCTGCGGATGACTGGTATGACATCCTGTTGAAGCGTTTCAAAAAGTTCAGGGGCTACGTAATCCTGACATAGTTGTTCTTCGAATGACAGATAGAATCTGTAGTGTTGCTCTATGTGCTGCATACAAGTTTGTGTTCGCTCGCGGTCATCGTTGGAAAAATCGATGTGTTGTCCATTCTTTTGCTGCCTCCCATGGGATAAAGAACAATTGAGATAATCGCCACATTTACCAAAAATATCAACTTTAATGTGCTTCTGCAGCTGCTTCACGTATTCTTCGCGTTTGCTTTGTGTGACGCAGTCGTCGTTAATCCAGGCAACAGACCTCTTCTTACTCCCACATGAATTATACTTCTTACTTAAACTTTGGCGCCTTCTGGTAAAGTTTCCTAAACGGAATCGTATATTGGAGTCTCTCTTATACGTCATCGTCAAATTAAAGGCATTACGCCAGTTCTTAAGATTGTCCCTCGCGTTTCTCTTTGGCGGTTCATTTGAATAAAAAATCCATACATGATGCTTCTTCTTCGCGGGGGGTGACTCTGGCAAATTATTCCCGTCAAATATCACAGCATTTGCATTCTCTAAAACAGACTTGTCTGTAGTAAATTCGCATGATGTGCTCTTGCACTTGAAATTGTCTAAAAAGTCTCCATTTCGCAAATTAGCGAGTTGCATTGCCTTTTTAAACGTTTCTCCCCATAGCAATATAATTTTCTTGTAGTTTTTGTTAGGATCCGGCGTTTCATCTACTTCCCCATGCTGCAGGCGTCCTTGATCTTGTAGTTCTGAGTTGGTGCTATATTTCGTGAATTCTGTTAAAGACCAGGCAATCAAAATCACTGAGACCACGACCCACGTCCCCAATATCCAGAAGCAAACTCGAAATGATACAAATGTTTTCATTCCTCACCACGCACTCTATGAGATGTGAGATCAGGACTGAAACCCTGGAAAAATAAAGAGGTAAACACCGGTAACAAGTTTGCAAAGTGCCATCCTCAGACAGGAGGCGAATAAAGCCTATTTATAACAGCTATATGGATCATCAATAATGAAAGAAATCTAACGGATGACCTTTCCCAGCACCTGCGCATCTTCGCTGCAACCCCCAGAGCTAAAGAATAATATTCAGAACGGGATACCGGGGGAAAACCCCTGCCTCTCACAAAGATCTATCTTCGTGGGGTCGGACATGAGCTCCACTTAAGCTCACATAACTCCTGTCTCAATTTATGTCGAACTAAGCGAGACGCTCTCTTTTTTTCTATCCCTACGCCCCCCTTCACCCCCCCCCCCCTCCCTGCTAGCACCCTGAGCTACAAGGATGCTGGAAACAACAGAGTCACGCACTGGGAGTGGAGAGGTAAGATTGTCGTGTCCTTTGAACCTCGGGGTCCTCCCTGCCACCCTTCACCCTCATCGCCCGATATATACTGGCTATGTCAGCGTGTTGTCCTCAGGTAAGGGGAGCACCTGCGTGTCTCATACAGTACATCACGAACAGAAGTGCAAATCGTGATCAGCACGCACTTACCAAAAACAAACACCAATAAGGCAGACCAAACAATCAATATTACCACTGCATCTAGGCCTTCCAAACACTAACCTATATCTTGGACTGGTTCAGCTGTTCACTGGGGCCTCTATAACAGATGCAAAGTAAAATGTTATAATGCGTTAGCCTCGTGAAAGTATGTTCAAATAGGAATATGTATTACTTTAGGCGGAGGAAGATAAGAAATGTGTTAAACGGCGATCTGCGTCTGATTGCTCTTAATCACACGCTGTATTAGAGATACTTGCTCACTCAGTCAGGAAAAATTCAAGTGGGTGAAAAGCGCGGGGGCGAAATAATCTGAAGTTAAAATTTAAACTACTACTACTGTTTTGTTATCTGTAACTATTTACTGTGGGTGGTATGTATTTATATACATATTGGTCGTATATGTATTTAACGGCGGTCTAGGTATGCTGTGCTAAACAGTATGCATCAGATGGTGTTACTGTCAGACGCTCCGCCTAAAGGTGACTAATTACAGGAGTGCATTTTACACGTGATTACACTCCTGTGATTTATAGCTTCCGTTTATATGGCAACTAAGATTCAGTACATTAAGACTTACAACATTTTCAGGCGATTGCGTTATTATCGTACTAAGTCGCAGTGCAATCATTAAAAAGTAGATTACGATTATAAGATCTTGCACGCGTGGGCAGACGGCACTATCACATTGTTATGTACAGACACCTAACTGGCTTTCGGCAATATTGTACTTCTGTCACAGAAACAGCACTCTACCTCTCTCCCTCTCTGTCTCTCTCTCTCTCTCTCTCTCTCTCATATCGGCGAACATGCATTTGTACATTAATCGAAAATAATTTTTACCTGCTTGCTCTGCCACCAAGGAAGTGGGCCTAAGTATACAGACTAGCTAGCTGAGACTTACTTTCAAATGAAAAAGAGTCCCACAGCCTCCAATCGACCTTGTACCTGAAAGACATGTGCTCGACTGTCTGCTGTGGCACAGTTAGTATGCACCCCACCGCAAAAGGTGACGAGGTGGTTTTTAATCTCTCTACGTCACGCCTCCCATCCATTTTCAGACCAACCCCAAAATCTGGTGCGGCGTAAAAGGTAGTAGCGCAATTTGAGATGTTCAAATATTTCAAGCACGTTTTGTTTAAATAATCTTTGAATTCGGGAGTAAGCGCGAAGCCGTGTCGATGAAGGTAGGGGGGGAATGAGCGTTCGTAAAATCGCCTTTTATTAACCATGTACTTGTTTAATCTCCCCCCCTCTCTCTGTATCGTTATCTCATAATTACATGTAACCTATGTATGTTTGCATATTACATATAAGTGGTGCAGGACTTGACGCCTGATAAGAGTTGTTTTATGCAACGAGGTAAAGTTTGACGTGTCACGGCTGACTAGTTGTAGATTTAGTTTTAATACCAGCAATGCAAGCTACTGAATGCACAGCGTACGCTTAATACAAGGAATGCGTCCTCTGTTTTAATTCAGTAGGTAATTAATGAAAAATGATACAGGTCTGTAACATATAGAAAAAAAATCACAAAATCCCAACTACTGTATATTTCTAGTTTCTTTTTTGGTTAGAGACAATTAAATAAACTACTCCCAAATTTCTAATATATATATATATATATATATATATATATATATATATATATATATATATATATATATATATAAAGCTATAACTTAAAATTACTTTCGTGATGTGCATACAGCAGTATACCTCATCAACAGTTCATATTAAAAAAAAACAGAACAATTCAGATATAGATAATGAAAAGAACGGGCAGTAACATTAATTGACCCAGTCTCTTATCGAAGCTCTTTCTTTACCCTATATTCAAAAATGTATCTATAGGCTCATTATCCTCATTTGCAATAGCCAGTCGGTACATGAAGAAGTGAACGTGATAAATCTCACCTCGGAGCACACGGCCACTGCTTCTTAAGTTTGAATAATGTGATTAATCAATACCAGTTACAGCTTTTCACGAGGTGCACATAATGCCAATAAGGTTCCCCCAAAGAACACAGTTCTCACGTTTAACTTGTTCAAAGCGTAAATATCAGGAATCCTTCTGTTCATTTGAGTTGAAAAACCCCAGTTATTGCAATGTAACACAACCCTACGTTAACAATTAATGACCCAAGACGGCTTTTTGGCTTGCCAATCTAGTCAGCCAGGTTTACCCACATCTACTAATATTTTGCTTTTTTATAGTACTCTATATCGCACAAACTTACTCACTCTGAGATATAATTGAGTAGACGTTTATGATTAATGTTTGAGGAGGTTAGGACGAGGCGGGAGAAAAGGCATTTAGACCAAGTCTATATACTAATGCATATCGATAAGATCGATTGATGAATTTGGAGGTAAAGGTTATAGATAGATTGAATAAAAAACGTCTTGTCGAATTACGTCACGACGCGCCAAGATAATGGTTCGTTACGTTGCGTCACGTCTCCTTACCTCAAACACTGCATAGCCTATATCAGGTGTAAGGACCAAGGGAAGTGAGCCTAAGTATTTTACGCAATGTTTCAAGAAGACAATGGAATAAAATGAGCGAGATGTGTAACAGTTTGACAAAGCTCTCAGTTAAAAATCCGGTTTGGTTAGCCCTAGTTTAGCTAGATGTATCAGCTTACAAATCCAAGGTTATAGGGTGACGCGGTGACAATATGTAAATTGTGCCTGGAAAGGTAACAAGTGCAGGTTTGTTGATATTGCATCATTGTTGTGTAATGTCAAACTCGTTACAATCAAAATATTGTTGTTCAGTTTAACTGAATGGCACCTTGAGTCCCAGAAAACCCCAGAGAGCCTAAGTAAGCGTCTCCCCTTGTTATTAAACAGTATTTGACACATGCGGTCCCATCCAATCTGTGTAATAGGTTCCAGGCGTTATGGCTGTNAAATTTCTAATATATATATATATATATATATATATATATATATATATATATATATATATATATATATAAAGCTATAACTTAAAATTACTTTCGTGATGTGCATACAGCAGTATACCTCATCAACAGTTCATATTAAAAAAAAACAGAACAATTCAGATATAGATAATGAAAAGAACGGGCAGTAACATTAATTGACCCAGTCTCTTATCGAAGCTCTTTCTTTACCCTATATTCAAAAATGTATCTATAGGCTCATTATCCTCATTTGCAATAGCCAGTCGGTACATGAAGAAGTGAACGTGATAAATCTCACCTCGGAGCACACGGCCACTGCTTCTTAAGTTTGAATAATGTGATTAATCAATACCAGTTACAGCTTTTCACGAGGTGCACATAATGCCAATAAGGTTCCCCCAAAGAACACAGTTCTCACGTTTAACTTGTTCAAAGCGTAAATATCAGGAATCCTTCTGTTCATTTGAGTTGAAAAACCCCAGTTATTGCAATGTAACACAACCCTACGTTAACAATTAATGACCCAAGACGGCTTTTTGGCTTGCCAATCTAGTCAGCCAGGTTTACCCACATCTACTAATATTTTGCTTTTTTATAGTACTCTATATCGCACAAACTTACTCACTCTGAGATATAATTGAGTAGACGTTTATGATTAATGTTTGAGGAGGTTAGGACGAGGCGGGAGAAAAGGCATTTAGACCAAGTCTATATACTAATGCATATCGATAAGATCGATTGATGAATTTGGAGGTAAAGGTTATAGATAGATTGAATAAAAAACGTCTTGTCGAATTACGTCACGACGCGCCAAGATAATGGTTCGTTACGTTGCGTCACGTCTCCTTACCTTAAACACTGCATAGCCTATATCAGGTGTAAGGACCAAGGGAAGTGAGCCTAAGTATTTTACGCAATGTTTCAAGAAGACAATGGAATAAAATGAGCGAGATGTGTAACAGTTTGACAAAGCTCTCAGTTAAAAATCCGGTTTGGTTAGCCCTAGTTTAGCTAGATGTATCAGCTTACAAATCCAAGGTTATAGGGTGACGCGGTGACAATATGTAAATTGTGCCTGGAAAGGTAACAAGTGCAGGTTTGTTGATATTGCATCATTGTTGTGTAATGTCAAACTCGTTACAATCAAAATATTGTTGTTCAGTTTAACTGAATGGCACCTTGAGTCCCAGAAAACCCCAGAGAGCCTAAGTAAGCGTCTCCCCTTGTTATTAAACAGTATTTGACACATGCGGTCCCATCCAATCTGTGTAATAGGTTCCAGGCGTTATGGCTGTCACTAAGACCACGTCAACCCAGTGTGACACATTACGATAAAAAGGAAGTCAATTCAGGTTGCTGTTGAAAATCGAACGCAAATTATGCGAGGAACGTGGTAATAATATCAAAATATTCTTGTACAAACTGGGTGGAAACGAAAATTGTCCGAGTTGAGATACATGTATATCTAGACCGCAAAGGCACTTCGGAATATTACACTGTGAAGCTACAAGTATTCAACGTCGTTTTTGTAAGTTTTGGCCTTAGAACAAGTAACTGCATTTTGCCTTTTTTTTTTTCAAAATCTCACGTCATTATAGATTTAATAACAACAATCGTAAACCGTCTTGGGATCATCCTGACACAATGAAACATTACAGAAACGTTTGGATATCCCTCCGTGTCAACGTCTCGTAAAATAACCTTTTTAAGTGTCAATTTTTCCAAATAATCTCTTCACTTGTGTGTGTATGAACACCAATTCCCTAACATCACTGCATATCTCCCCCTATGTGATTGAAACTAACATTGAGCGCCTAGGTAAATGGTTTCATAATGCATAGAAAACTTCAGTTTAGTTTATGAAATGAGATCAAACTGCAAATGATATCAAATATATGAAATAAGAATTGAAACTGGGTTGTGTTTGCAAATCTCAAAAGTGGTGCTTCAAATACTTAGTTAAGCTTCGTGAATGCATTTTGAGTTCTTGGCACAAAAAGGAACAATGCGTTTTTTTTTTTAACAGATAAAATGAACGAGATAATGCCCTGCAACAAAAGATTTATTGAACAAAACGAAGAACGTTACGTTCATGACTGACAAGCGATTTCTTTAGAAATGAAGTAATAAGCAACATGACATTCTTAAATATATTCATTTTCATATTTTTATGCGCAGCCGCAACTTTCACACGCGTCGCTTAAAAACCTCGTCTCTTTAGAAAGGGCCAGTCCAGTTGAAACTACTGGCTCTGGTGGTGTACGGTGGCTTTTACTCCCAAGGCCTTGGTTTGCAGGCCCGAATTCAAAAATTACACTCACACTTCGTTTCGAGTCCAGTCAATTAAAAACACATAATAAATTAACTTTTTAGAAGTTGTTTTCAACATTTCAGTAGCAGATAATATTACCTCTGGCGCTATGTGAATGCCATTTTTCAGAGTTTTGCACACACATGCTGTGCAACCGTGCCATACTTTGTGGTACTTAATTAAAGGGCACTTTTACCTTGTTCTATACACAAAATCCTACAATTTTGAGCGAGTCTTGTATTTCACGCTTCAGTATTGGCTTTACAGCAGGATTGCATCGCTGTCCTTTATTTTTCGCTTCTAAAGAACATTTTTCATAGATACATCATTTAAACTAGTCACCACTTCGATCTTTGCAAGTACTTACCTACCGCACTTGTGCGGTTAACTTTTGTAAAAAGACATGCTACAGAATATCTACATATAATAAGCTTAAAATAAAGACATACGAGCATTTGTTTTGAACCATTGTAAATTATTCTCTTCAGAAGTGAAATCAATACAAAATGGTAACAAAAAGATAAAACGAATGGTGGATTACAAATAACGGTTTTACGTAATAGAAATCAAGGACTCATTTCACCGTCTATCGTACACCTTACACCAAACGATCACATCCTCTAGTACAGGAGTCAATGAAGAGTTATTTTCCATATTTAGCAATATTCGTGATTTAATTACTCTTTTAACATACGTGCCTCGCCAAAGAGAACTATATCAATATGAGATCTTGACACATTAGTAAGAAAATAACAGAACCAACTACTTTTCAAATTACCTATCTTCTCTATGAAGAAAGGATAAAAGACGCAGTATTGAACAAACAATAATAATAACAAACTAAATAGGATTTCTCAACCAATCTGAAATTAGTGTACCGGTGGTGTACTGGCTCCCTGTGAACAGCAAACATATCAGGTATGGATTTACAGATAAAAAATAACAAAACTTCAGATCAAAAGTAACAGAATTACGGGTCAAAAGTAACAGAATTACAGATCGAAATTTAAGTTCACATTCCTCCAGGTGTACATGTCTCTTGGCACATTTATTGGCTGCTAGATTATTACTGTAAAACTTAGTAGGACTACTTAGAACACTACTCTATGATGACATCACAGGCTCACCAGAACTGCACCAACACTACTCCATTTTGTCATGTCATGCCTTTAACACCAGAAAAACGGCTATGGATTTTTTACTCAACTTTTTCATGTAACAAACAGGCAGTATAGGTGGAATGTGAAAACCAAATTAATCTACGCCGACTCCCGTTCCATGCTCATACAATAATCTTCACCCTTATATACTGTATATAACAAATTGAACACATTCAAGAAGTAATCCACCCATGTACTCTGGGACTTTGTAATATGGTTCATCATTTGAATAAATGCCATCAAATGTAGTTATAATATTACAAGGGTATTCAAATAGAAATCCTGGATACATGAGAACATGAATATAGAGAGAGTTCTCTATTATGTTAATGAAACCAATATTTTATGCACCTTTAAGATCTTCCAACCTTAAATAGATGAGGTGATATTATGACCCATACAGTAACATAAATCTTCTCAATATACACATCCTGCCAGAAGGCAGCTGAAACAATATTATATAATATAATAATAGTTTGTGTCTGTAATTGTTCATTGTTTCCTAGTACACGGCCAATCCAATCCCCCGCAAGCCCATGATACAATCAAGTACAAAACAATCTGAAAAATAATGTACAAAGTAAATCAAAAAGAAAAAACACATCAACAATTAAGTGGATGCAAACCATGAAATATATTCCAACCTAAGATAATTTTAAAGATAGCATCTGTTACTATGATGTGTGGTCTAATTTTTGACAACAAACACTTACTTTCAAAATAACCAGAAAAAGAGTAGTTGTGGGAGGTTTAATGTTACTAGCCAGGTTAACAAAAATTAATATGGAAAAATATTCCATAATAATAAACATAAAACACATAAGTGAACATTACCAAAGTAAGTCAAAGCAAAATGTGTAACTTACAATAGCTATCACTGCAACAACAATTGTAATCTTTACGTTCTTCCACCACAGTGACCTTGCAAGATTCTGACTAGATTTTCTAAACTGAACAGACTGGAAGTAAAAACAAAAGGTTAAAAAACTAGCAAAGTTATCCTCTTTTAAACTTTTTGGTAAAGCATTTTTTTTAAATCTTAATCTTAATTAACTAACATTCATAAAAATCTATTGTAGAGTAACTGTGTAAAGTTGTTTGAATTACCCTCTTCAACAATTTCTTTATGATGTGGTAACCGTTGTACGGTGAATTTCACACCAAAACCATTCTCATTCACCCGATACACACAAAAGGGATACCTAACAGCTATCCTTTTGCCAAGAACTTTTCAAATAATTAAAAGTTTAATTCTTTCTTCTGAATACCATACATAAGATATCTGTAATACTAGCAACCTAAGTTGAAGTTGGTGCAATTGTAATACCATACTTACATGGGAACCTAAATCCTGTGTTTTATCTACAAGCAATTCCAACATTTCTCTTTGTAATACAATACTTACATGGAGACCCAAATCCTCGTTTTATCTACAAGCAGTTCCAATCTCTCTCTTTGTAATACCATATTTACATGGGAACACTATTCCTCAGTTTTATCTACAAGCAATTCCAACCTTTCTCCTTGTAATACCATACTTACATGGGAACTTAAGTCCTCTGTTTTATCGACAAGCAGTTCCAGCCTCTCTCCTCGTGAAACCATACTATCTGAAAACAATACATACTTATCTTATATCTTATATAAGTAAATTTGAAACAAGACATCCGTTTAACCTTCTATCCCAAACTTTCAACAATTATACAGTAACTGTTGCTGTTGAATGATAGCCAGCAATTTTACAGGGACAGGGAGTGTGGGTGTGTCTTTTCTGGAAAAGTGGGCCTTTTTACTACTAAAAAGTACATATAATTATAATACAATAATAATGTTTTATGGTACATTTAGAGTACTAAAAAATGGTAATTGTAAGAAAGACATTGGATATTTAAACATTTTCTAAAATATAATTTCAAGAACTGCATTACAATTAACATTTGTAAAATTTGTTAAAATTATATAATTACTTTCAAAATATTGGTATAGAACCTGCTACATCAATTTTGGATTCTGAGTAGACTATTTTCCAGCCAAAAGGGTGGTTCTTTCTAACTTTTCACCCATCCCCATCTTGGGGCCTGTGAAGTTGTAAAAAAATACCTATATTCTTGACCATAATTCCCTTGAGCTCATCCACTTGACCTTGAACTTTTGCTACTTTGTCTACATTTGCTTCCTCATCCTGGTATCCAGATGCTGAGGCACCTGCTTGCCTGTTCTCACTGTAGTGTTTCTGAAAAATATGTAAAAAATGTGGTAACAGAAAACACAAAATACTTTAAAGAGGCTTTTTCTAGACACTATTGCAACAAAAGAAGTACAAGACAGTTACTTCAGCTCCTGCTTCAGCAACATGAACAGACACAGGCTATGTTGATATCAGATGTCTCCCTCAAAAAGAACTGTGGCTTTTCCGGTGATTTTTGACCGACGGTTTTCCCATGTCTGCTACAAGATGTATTTATAAAGTTTTTTAACAGTAACTAACTAATGGAAAAGCTGCAGATGACATTGGACAGCACTGAGAAATTATTCAAAACAAGCACTTGAAGAATTCCTCAATTCATTATAATTTGTTTTGATGGAGTTAAATGAACAGTGAATTTTCCAGATGCCAAATACCTGCTCGTGTGCATTGACTTACCATAAGGGCAGTTAATACTAAAAGACTCACTGTTGACTTGCCATAAGGACAGCTTATGCTGAAAGACTCACCGTTGACTTACCATAAGGGCAACTAATACGAAAAGACTCACTGCTGACTGATCATAAGGGTAACTAATACTAAAAACTCACTGTTGACTGACCGTAAGGGCAGCTAATACTAAAAGACTCACTGTTGACTTATCACAAGGGCACCTTATACTGAAAGACTCACTGTTGACTTACCATAAGGGTAGTCAATACTGAAAGACTCACTGTTGACTTACCATAAGGGCAGCTAATACTGGAAGACTCACTGTTGAATTACCATCAGGGTAACTAATACTAAAACTCACTGTTGACTTACCATAAGGGTAACTAATACTAAAAGACTCACTGTTGACTGACCATAAGGACAGCTAATACTGAAAGACTCACTGTTGACTTACCACAAGGGCACCTAATACTGAAAGGCTCACTGTTGACTTACCACAAGGGCACCTAATACTGAAAGACTCACTGTTGACTTACCATATGGGTAGTCAATACTGAAAGACTCACTGTTGACTTACCATAAGGGCAGCTAATACTGGAAGACTCACTGTTGAATTACCATAAGGGCAGTTAATACTGAAAGACTCACTGTTGACCTACCATAAGGGCAGTTAATAGTGAAAGACTCACTGTTGACTTACCATAAGGACACCTAATACTGAAAGGCTCACTGTTGACTTACCATAAGGGTAACTAATACTAAAAGACTCACTGTTGACTGACCATAAGGGCAGCTAATACTAAAAACTTACTGTTGACTTACCATAAGGGCAGCTAATACTGAAAGACTCACTGTTGACTTACCATAAGGGCAGTTAATAGTGAAAGACTCACTGTTGACTTACCATAAGGACACCTAATACTGAAAGACTCACTGTTGACTTACCATAAGGGCAGTTAATAGTGAAAGACTCACTGTTGACTTACCATAAGGGCAGTTAATAGTGAAAGACTCACTGTTGACTTACCATAAGGACACCTAATACTGAAAGGCCCAATGTTGATTTACCATAAGGACAGCTAATACTGAAAGGCTCACTGTTGACTTACCATAAGGGCAGCTAATACTGAAAGGCTCACTGTTGACTTACCATAAGGGCAGTTAATACTGAAAGACTCACTGTTGACTTACCATATCGGCAGCTAATACTGGTAGACTCACTGTTGACTTACCATAAGGGCAGCTAAAACCCTGGAAAATTCACTGTTCATTGCATATGGCAGAGCTGTCTGTGAGCGCGTGCCATACTGAGTCTGGAATCTGAAATATAAGATAATATGTTGCATTTCTCAGGGAACTTGACATACATAAATCTACAATTTATATCACAACATTTGTTGCTTTGCCTAATAACGTTACAGTTGGCAAAACACTTCAACAACCTACTGCAGTGCTTATCATATATTCAATTCACTATTTGTAAATTCAGAACTCTCAAACAGACTACTTGCTAAAGAAATTCTTAGTAATCCTAGTCTGCTATGTATTTCTATCAGTATCCTTTTTGTCATATTTTAACAACTCTTCGAGCTGACTGATCAGATAAAGAATCCTAAACTACTGTTTGAATCTGAAAGTTCCTGCAGCATGTCGTCAAGGGATACTTACTTCCTCTTGATGTCATTCAAAAATAAAAAAGCTCTGCTTCTGTCAAAATCCTAAAAATGTGAAAAAAAAATCACAAATTTAATATTATTTAAAGGGCAGAAATAAAGAAAGTCTGGCTTGTCATAATATTTTTGTTCAATAATAAGTAAAAAAAATTGTAAAATTATGCCTATTTCATTAGGAGCTTGATATTATTCACAACATCAATTACCAGTAGCATTGTGCAATATTAATACAAAATTTTTATGTCTAGGGTATTTCTACCATTGTTTACTTCAGCCAAATGAACAGTTTTCCAACAAATCTGGCAAAACGTAATAAAAACATCTTCTTTATTTTCAACCAAAGTTGTCTTTTAAAGTGAATGTATTATCATTTAAAGATGGAATTGCCCTGGTGGTAACACCTGTCACTCTCTTCAGTTGTTAAACTTTTTGACTTTAATACTCAGCTGATGAACATCTATTATCATGGTATCTATAACCTCAATTATGTTTCAGTATACTCACATCATCTGTGATACAAAGATAGATTATTCTGTCTTCTGAAACATAGTGAAAAAGGTAGCTGAAAACAAAAACAAGAGCAGTTCAGTTTAGAACAGCAAATTTTACATGACTTAAAAAGGCAGACAAAATGTGATATATTTCAAAACATACGATAGCTTCAAAAGAAGAAACGTCACTTAAGTCATAATGAAAAACTGACAATATAATAATTTTAATTTCAAGTAACAGAATGAGAACATGTTATTTTAATCACACAGTTGCCAGNCTCAAACACTGCATAGCCTATATCAGGTGTAAGGACCAAGGGAAGTGAGCCTAAGTATTTTACGCAATGTTTCAAGAAGACAATGGAATAAAATGAGCGAGATGTGTAACAGTTTGACAAAGCTCTCAGTTAAAAATCCGGTTTGGTTAGCCCTAGTTTAGCTAGATGTATCAGCTTACAAATCCAAGGTTATAGGGTGACGCAGTGACAATATGTAAATTGTGCCTGGAAAGGTAACAAGTGCAGGTTTGTTGATATTGCATCATTGTTGTGTAATGTCAAACTCGTTACAATCAAAATATTGTTGTTCAGTTTAACTGAATGGCACCTTGAGTCCCAGAAAACTCCAGAGAGCCTAAGTAAGCGTCTCCCCTTGTTATTAAACAGTATTTGACACATGCGGTCCCATCCAATCTGTGTAATAGGTTCCAGGCGTTATGGCTGTCACTATGACCACGTCAACCCAGTGTGACACATTACGATAAAAAGGAAGTCAAGTCAGGTTGTTGTTGAAAATCGAGTCCAAATTATGCGAGGAACGTGGTAATATTTTCAAAATATTCTTGTTCAAACCAACCTTGTAAAACTGGGTGAAAAAAATTGTTCCAGTTGATATCTATCTATAGACCGCTAAGGTACGTAGGAATATTGCACTGTGAAGTTACAAGTATTTAACGTCATTTTTGTAAGTCTTGGCCTTAGAACATGTAACTGCCTTTTTTTTTTCCCCAAAATCTCACTATAGATTTAATAACAACAATCGTAAACCGTCTTGGCATCATCCTGACACAATGAAACATTGCAGAAACGGTTGGATTTTCCTCCGTGTCAACGTCGCGTAAAATGACTTTTTAAAGTGTCAATTTTCCAAATAATTTCTTCACTTGTGTGTATGAACACCAATTCCCTAACATCACGGCATATCTCCCCCTATGTAATTGAAACTAACATTGAGCGCCTAGGTAAATGGTTTCATAATGCATAGAAAACTTCAGTTTAGTTTATGAAATGCGATCAAACTGCAAATGAAATTAAGAATTGAAACTGGGTTGTGTTTGCAATCTCAAAAGTGGTGCTTCAAATACTTAGTTAAGCTTCGTGAATGCATTTTGAGTTCTTGGCACAAAAAGGAACAATGCGTTTTTTTTAACAGATAAAATAACGAGATAATGCCCTGCAACAAAAGATTTATTGAACAAAACGAAGAACGTTACGTTCTTGACTGACAAGCGATTTCTTTAGAAATGAATTAATAAGCAACATGACATTCTTAAATATATTCATTTTCATTTTTTTTTTATGCGCAGCCGCAACTTTCACACGCCTCGCTTAAAAACCTCGTCTCTTTAGAAAGGGCCAGTCCAGTTGAAACTACTGGCTCTGGTGGTGTACGGTGGCTTTTACTCCCAAGGCCTTGGTTTGCAGGCCCGCATTCAAAAATTTCACTCACCATTTGTTTCGAGTCCAGTCAATTAAAAACACAATAAATTAACTTTTTCAGAAGTCGTTTTCAACATTTCAATAGCAGATAATACTACCTCTGGCGCTATGTGAATGCCATTTGCACACACATGCTGTGCAACCGTGCCACACTTTGTGGTACTTAATTAAAGGGCACTTTTACCTTGTTCTATACACAAAATCCTACAATTTTAAGCGATTCTTGTGAGTATTTCACGCTTCGGTATTGGCTTTATAGCAGGATTGCATCGGTGTTCTTTATTTTTCGCTTCCAAAGAACATTTTTTCATAAATACATCATTTAAACTAGTCACCTCTTTGATCTTTGCAAGTACTTACCTACCGCACTTGTGCGGTTAAATTTTGTAAAAAGACATGCTACAGATTATCTACATATAATAATCTTGAAATAAAGACATACGAGCATTTGTTTTGAACCATTGTAAATTATTCTCTTCAGAAGTGAAATCAATACAAGATGGGTACAAAAAGATAAAACGAATGGTGGATTACAAATAACGGTTTTACGTAAAAGAAATCAAGGACTCATTACACCGTCTGTCGTACACCTTACACCAAACGAGCACATCCTCTGGTACAGGAGTCAATGAAGAGTTATTTTCCATATTTAGCAATATTCGTGATTTAATTACTCTTTTAACATACGTGCCTCGCCAAAGAGAACTATATCAATATGAGATCTTGACATATTAGTAAGAAAATAACAGAACCAACTACTTTTCAAATTACCTATCTTCTCTATGAAGAAAGGATAAAAGACGCAGTATTGAACAAACAATAATAATAACAAACTAAATGGGATTTCTCAACCAATCTGAAATTAGTGTACCGGTGGTGTACTGGCTCCCTGTGAACAGCAAACATATCAGGTATGGATTTACAGATCAAAAATAACAAAACTTCAGATCAAAAGTAACAGAATTACGGGTCAAAAGTAACAGAATTACAGATCGAAATTTAAGTTCACATTCCTCCAGGTGTACATGTCTCTTGGCACATTTATTGTCTGCTAGATTATTACTGTAAAACTTAGTAGGACTACTTAGAGCACCACTCTATGATGACATCACAGGCTCACCAGAACTGCACCAACACTACTCCATTTTGTCATGTCATGCCTTTATCACCAGAAAAACGGCTGTGGATTTTTTACTCAACTTTTTCATGTAACAAACAGGCAGTATAGGTGGAATGTGAAAACCATCTTAATCTATGCCGACTCCCGTTCCATGCTCATACAATAATCTTCACCCTTATATACCGTATATAACAAATTGAACACATTCAAGAAGTAATCCACCCATGTACTCTGGGACTTTGTAATATGGTTCATCATTTGAATAAATGCCATCAAATGTAGTTATAATATTACAAGGGTATTCAAATAGAAATCCTGGATATATGAGAACATGAATATAGAGACAGTTCTCTATTATGTCACCAACCAGTTAATGAAACCAATATTTTATGGACCTTTAAGATCTTACAACCTTAAATAGATGAGGTGATATTATGACCCATACAGTAACATATATCTTCTCAATATACACATCCTGCCGGGAGGCAGTTGAAACAATATTATATAATATAATAATAGTTTGTGTCTGTAATTGTTCATTGTTTCCTTGTACAAGGCCAATCCAATCCCCCGCAAGCCCATGATACAATCAAGTACAAAACAATCTGAAAAATAATGTATTAAGTCAATCAAAAAGAAAAAACACATCCACAATTAAGTGGATGCAAATCATGAAATATATTCCAAACTAAGATATTTTTAAAGATAGCGTCTGTTACTATGATATGTGGTAAAATATTTGATAGCAAACAAAACACTTACTTTCAAAATAACCAGAAAAAGAGTGTAGCTGTGGGAGGTTTAATGTTACTGGCCAAGTTAACAAAAATTAATGTGGAAAAATATTCCAAAATCATAAACATAAAACACTGAACATTACCAAAATAAGTTAAAGCAAAATGTGTAACTTACAATAGCTATCACTGCAACAACAATTGTAATTTTTACGTTCTTCCACCACAGTGACCTTGCAAGATTCTGACTAGATTTTCTAAACTGAACAGACTGGAAGTAAAAACAAAAGATTAAAAAACTAGCAAAGTTACCCTCTTTTAAACTTTTTGTTTAAGCTTTTTTTTTTTTACAAATCTTAATCTTAATCAAATGACATTCAGAAAAAATCTATTGTAGAGTAACTGTGTTAAGTTGTTTGAATTACCCTCTTCAACAGTTTCTTTATGATGTGGTAACGGTGTACTGTGAATTTCACACCAAACCCATTCTCATTCACCCGATACACATAAAAGGGATACCTAACAGCTCTCCTTTTGCCAAGAACTTTTCAAATAATTAAAAGTTTAATTCTTTCTTCCGAATACCATACATTAAATATCTGTAATACTAGCAACCTAAGTTGAAGTTGGTGCAATTACCTTACATAGAAACTAAAGTCCTCTGTTTTATCTACAAGCAATTCCAACCTTTCTCCTTGTAATACCATACTTACATGGAAACTGAAGTCCTCTGTTTTATCTACAAGCAATTCCAACCTCTTTCCTTGTAATACCATACTTACATGGGAACTTACGTCCTCTGTTTTATCTACAAGCAGTTCCAGCCTCTTTCCTTGTAATACCATACTTACATGGGAACCTAAATCCTCTGTTTTATCTACAAGCAATACCAACCTCTTTCCTTGTAATACCATACTTACATGGGAACTTAAGTCCTCTGTTTTATCTACAAGCAGTTCCAGCCTCTCTCCTCGTGAAACCATACTATCTGAAAACAATACAGAATACAATACATACTTATCAAATATAAGTAAATTTGGAACAAGACATCCATTTAACCTTCTATCCCAAACTTTCAACAATTATACAGTGACTGTTGCTGTTGAATGATAGCCAGCAATTTTACAGGGACAGGGAGCGTGGGTGTGTCTTTTCTGGAAAAGTATGCCCTTTTACTACTAAAAAGTACATATAATTATAATACAATAATGATGTTTATTTATTTACAACCAAAAGTTGGATGGTACATTTAGAGTACTAAAAAATGGTAATTGTAAGAAAGACATTTGATATTTAAACATTTTCTAAAATATAATTTCAAGAACTGCATTAGAATTAAAATTTGTAAAATTTGTTAAAATCATATAATTACTTTCAAAATATTGGTATAGAACCTGCTACATCAATTTTGGATTCAGAGTAGACTATTTTCCAGCCAAAAGGGTGGTTCTTTCTAACTTTTCACCCATCCCCATCTTTGGGCCTGTGAAGTTGTAAAAAAATACCTATATTCTTGACCATAATTCCCTTGAGCTCATCCACTTGACCTTGAACTTTTGCTACTTTGTCTACATTTGCTTCCTCATCCTGGTATCCAGATGCTGAGGCACCTGCTTGCCTGTTCTCACTGTAGTGTTTCTGAAAAATATGTAAAAAATGTGGTAACAGAATACAGAAAATACTTTAAAGAGGCTTTTTCTAGACACTATTGCAACAAAAAAAGTACAAGACTGTTACTTCAGCTCCTGCTTCAGCAACATGAACAGACACAGGCTATGTTGATATCAGATGTCTCCTTCAAAAAGAACTGTGGCTTTTCCGGTGATTTTTGACCGACGGTTTTCCCTATGTCTGTTACAAGATGTATTTATTAAGTTTTTTAACAGTAACTAACTAATGGAAAAGCTGCAGATGACACTGGACAGCACTGAGAAATTATTCAAAACAAGCATTTGAAGAATTCCTCAATTCATTTATAATTTGTTTTGATGGAGTGTTCCATGCCAAATACCTGCTCGTGTGCATTGACTTACCATAAGGACAGCTAATACAAAAAGACTCGCTGTTGACGTGCCATAAGGACAGCTAATGCTGAAAGACTCACTGTTAACTTACCATAAGGGTAACTAATACTAAAAGACTCACTAATGACTGACCATAAGGACAGCTAAAACTAAGACTCACTGTTGACTTACCACAAGGGCACCTAATACTGAAAGACTCACTGTTGACTTACCATAAGGGTAGTCAATACTGAAAGACTCACTGTTCACTTACCATAAGGGCAGCTAATACTGGAAGACTCACTGTTGACTTACCACAAGGGTAGTCAATACTGAAAGACTCACTGTTCACTTACCATAAGGGCAGCTAATACTGGAAGACTCACTGTTGACTTACCACAAGGGCACCTAATACTGAAAGACTCACTGTTGACTTACCATAAGGGTAGTCAATACTGAAAGACTCACTGTTGACTTACCATAAGGGCAGATTATACTGAAAGGCTCACTGTTGACTTAACCATAAGGGCAGTTAATACTGAAAGACTCACCGTTGACTTACCATATGGGCAGCTAATACTGGTAGACTCACTGTTGACTTACCATAAGGGCAGCTAAAACCCTGGAAAATTCACTGTTCATTGCATATGGCAGAGCTGTCTGTGAGCGCGTGCCATACTGAGTCTGGAATCTGAAATACAAAATAATATGTTGTATTTCTCAGGGAACTTCACATACATAAATATACATCTCATGTCACAACATTTGTTGCTTTGCCTAATAACGTCACATTTGGCAAAACACTTTAACAACCTACTGCAGTGCTTTTCATATATTCATTTCACTATTTGTAAATTCTGAACTCTCAAACAGACTACTTGCTAAAGAAATTCTTAGCAATACTTGTCTACTATGTATTTCTATCAGTATTCTTTTTTCACATTTAAACAACATTCTCCTAGCTGACTGATCAGATAAAAGAATCCTAAACTACTGTTTGAATCTGAAATTTCTTGCAGCATGTTGTCAAGGGATACATACTTCCTCTTGATGTCATTCAAAAATAAAAAAGCTCTGCTTCTGTCAAAATCCTAAAAATGTGAAAAAATCTTAAATTTAATATTTTTTAAAGGGAAAGGGAGCAGAAATAAAGAAAGTCTGGCTTGTCAATGTGTCATAATATTATTGTTCAATAATAAGTCAAAAAATTGTAAAATTATGCCTATTCCATTAGGAATTTGATATTATTCACAGCATCAATTACCAGTGACATAGTGCAATATTAATACAAAACATTCATGCCTAGGGTATTTCTACTACTGTTGACTTCAGCCAAATAAACGGTTTTCCAACTTTTGGCGTAACATAATAATAACGTCGTATTTATTTTCAACCATAGTAAAAAAACTGTTGTCTTTTAAAGTAAATGTCTTATCATTTAAAGATGAAATTGCCCTGGCATTAACACCTGTCACTTTCTTCAGTTGTTAAGTTTTTGACTTTATGACTCAACTGATGAACTTCTATTATCATGGTAATAGGTATCTATAACCTATAACATGGTATCTATGTTTAAGTATACTCACATCATCTGTTATACAAAGATAGATTATTCTGTCTTCTGATACATAGTGGAAAAGGTAGCTGAAACGGAAGAAAACAAAAATGACAGCAGTTCAGATTAGAACAGTAAATTTTACATGAATTAAAAAGCAGACAGAACATGGGATTTTCCAAAGCATAAAATAGCATCAAAATAAGAAATATCATTTGAGTCATAATGAAAAACTGACCATATAATAATTTCAATTTCAAGAAACAGAATGAGAACATGTTATTTTAATAACAGCTGTCAGCTCTTTTATACAACTGAAACTTTCAAGAAATATTTTATTAATTCACTATTATAATTAAAGTCATAAACTGAATACCATAAAAAACAAAGATTTTCATGAGATGGAATTCATTTGAGGATAATTTGAAGACTTACCTGCCATGTGAGTATGTAAGCTTGGCATTTTCTGGGGAAATTTTGCTCAGAATTTGATCTGTGACTTCAGTGAAGTTTCCAGCACATCCTGCATATTTGGCCAGCACTGTATTTCCCCTCGCAACAACAGCAAACAGGAGAGGCATCTTGCAGTAAAATTGGCCTTTAGGTCTCTATTCTACACATACAACCTGAAAAGTTTTCAAACAGATCCACTGCTGTCATCATTTCTATGGCAGACTTTCATGTACCAAAACTTAAGGGAACTGTAAATTAGGAAATTCACTTTATGTGTCTATATTTTTATTAGATAATTCAAGCATTTTAAACATGTTTTGCACTACAAATCAATATCTTACAAATATGTCAATGTGCACAGGTCATAGCCATCCAATGTTAAACGAGCTATTTACAGCAGAATATATGCCGAGCAATTGCTGTGCTATGACAAAATTAAGCAAACCCGCAAGTCATATGAACGATGAAAGAACTGTTCTTTGCTTGGGTTTTCAGACTACTCAGATATATAAGACTTGTGGTGCACATTAATCTTGCGTCAAATTCATTCACAGTCATAATGACAAAGTTTCTACTGGGACATTTATCATTATAATTTAGCTCCAAATCTTATTTTGTGATTCAATTACAAGTCTTAGACTATATGTGTATGTGACTTACACTTAACTTCAGTCCTTCACTTTCCCGTCTTAAATGGTCCTATAAAAAACCTACGAACCTACGACCGTTCTTAAGAGTACCACAAAACTGAGTAAAGTTTGTGTTCATAGGGTCTTCCTTCCTTCTGCGCTCTCTGTCTTGTTTTCTTCTGACGTCATCATCACATGAGTTTGTAGCAGTAGCCGCGCGTAAGTATATAAATATTTGATTCTAATTTATTTTTTCCGACACGGTTTACAGCAATATATTTATTAGAATTATAGTAAATTTATGGAAATTTGGATATAGAATTTGTTATTACTTGTCTTATTTTATTGCAAAGTGCAACAATATTTTCATATTTCTGATAAGGATCAAATTTATGGTGTGTGTCATTGAAGGTCAAGGTGAGAGAAAGCATGGAAGTTGGTCGACTGGAAGTTGTAAGTATCAAACACAAATTGTGCGTGAATGTTTATAAACAATTAATTATGCAGTCTCAGAGTTATGCCACTCTTTATTCAGTCTGAAATCATTTTTTGTCGGGAGCTGAAAATGGTAATGTGTGGGTCTGTGAATTTTTTTAGATATTAATAATAATCTGGTACATGATTTCTTTAAAATCAGGACAACCTGCTGATTTCTTCAAAATAATAGTTTGCAATGCTCATACATGTTTGGAGAATTTGAATTTATTTATTTATTTATTTATTTAAGGTGGAGCCAGAGAACCCAGAGGATGAAACCTGCAGGACATTTGTGATGTACAATGAAGACCATACTTTGGGAAATTCACTCAGATATATCATAATGAAGAAGTAAGTATAACCTGTGTCAGTGGTTTTATGTAGAAGAAAGATGCATTATTTACTCTAGACTTTCATCTTTGGCAACATGAAGATGAATAAGTTTAGTGTTATCCTATACACTAATAATATAATGTTTACAGAATCAGAAGTTTATTGACAATCGCCCTACATCCGGGCATGATCAAATACAAGAAGTAATCCGCAGAGTGATTACCAAATACAGTTTGATATACATTATATAATGTCTAGACTAAAGCAGGGAAAGTACAAGTACTACTCAATAAAGATCAATATAGGGATAAAAAAAATGTTATGGTATGCAGACTAACTTTCAAACATAAGATCATGACAGAAAGACTGGAAAGCCTGTGTGTGTTGCCTTGCAGCTTTTATTTTTTACGGTACTTTGAAACCCAATTTTGTTTTTATCCTTAAACTATTATTATTTATAATAATTGAACCATTTCTTAATATTCAGCCCAGAAGTTCAGTTTTGTGGGTACAGCGTTCCCCATCCATCAGAAAGCAAGATAAATTTACGAATACAGACAAATGGTATGTAGGATTCCTTAACAAAACATTTGATTTTCACAAAAGTTTATTATTAAATTTCCATATGATAAACCATTGTGGGGATTTAGAAACTTTTGTTTTTAATATTTGACGTACATATTTCCAATTATTATTTTTTTCTGGGTTGCTATTATTTAACAGTTTATGTGAGTAATAAAACAACCATTTCTCACTACCCTGCATGAACTGTACTCAGCAAACTCCTAGACTTGGTCCATCACTTTTTCACACCAGGTTTGTCAATTCTCATTGCAGGGCCACCTGCTGTAGATGTCTTACGAAGAGGACTCGTGGAGTTGACCGCAGTGTGTGAACATGTCCTGACAACATTTGAGGTGACACTTCTACATCAGTAGCCATACATCCTATACTCAAACTCTTAATTATTGTTAATCTAATAATTTTAAAGTTTTTGTCAGTTTCTTTCTTTTTATTTCAGTGCTTACTATTGCTAATATATTGTAATTTTGGAGGAATTCAAGATATCTAACATATAACATTGAAATTATTTAGCATCATTGATAATTGATTCACTGTCTTCGTAAGGCATGATTTTCTTAAATGAATTTGACAATGTATTATTAAATAAATAATTTTCAAATTTGCAAATGAATCTCTAGATAAAAATTTCGACATAATGATCCTCTTTTTGTGCCTCTGAATCTCAAGATACATTTTTTTCTTTCAGACAACAGTGAACAACTTCAAGAGAGAACAAGGCAGTGCAGAGCCTATGGACACAAGTTGACATGCAGGCTAAGGAGGAAGACTGGACAGTAAAACTGCAGACTGTCATATAAGACATTTTGCTAGTCTTTGAAGTTTTCTTTGAAATAGTCTAAATATTTGAACAGAGGGTTCTCAGTAACAGTTCGGTACAGAGTTGCTATCTGTGGAAGTTAGAGAAGCCATTCCTTTGCAAATAGTGCATTGTGAGACATCTGACTCCTTAAACCTGTGCACTATGCATCTGCTTGGAATTTCATCTCATTTGTTACAGTGATAAGACTGGCACATAGAATTGGAGACATTGACTGCAGGCCACAGTCAATTGTAATACTACATTTATGACTGAATAGTGAACAAGATTCTTCCACAATAACCTTAGTTTAAAAACTGATATTTTCTTAGACTTCTGTTGTAGCTTAGTAGTTGTATATTCAGGCATAAAAAATTTGACACTTTAATATGACATTTCTCGTTTAAAAGACAGGTCATGTGTTCTTTTGTATACAATATTTTTTCTTGTTTTCTTCAAATGAATGTTTGGGAATTTTGGTAATTATAGATACTCAGTATACAGTGATGGGAAGTACAGCTGAAGGCAATTAAAAAGGAGGTGCAGAGGTTTTTTTAAATTTCAAACCTGCCTATATTAACAAGCATCAGTACTTCATGTAACATGGATGTTAAATATCTAATATGATGGAAGGCCAATATGTTGTTTTGTAGGTTTTTCGTGCATAAAAGTAGAAGTTGAGTGCTGGACACTTTTTTTACTGTTCATCAAGACCAAAAAAATTTAGATCATTTATGAACTTCCCGTATTTCATGTATACTTTGAGAAACCAATAAATGCATCTGAATGATGTACAGTTGCAAACTTGACCTCTGGTTGCCATTTTCAAAAGCTTTTAAAAACTCGGTTAAGGCATTTATTCATTCAAAAAAATCAAAATTAAAATCTGAGATTACTGATAATGATTTTATTTATACACTAGATTCTGCTGCCCATAACCAAGCAATACACACATTGCACATGTACTGCTGCTTCACACAATGTAAGCTACAGCTACATATCAAAGAAGAAAAAACTTCCAACATTGTTATCAGCAGCATAATTCTTACAATCTTCACAAGTAAGAACAAAAGAATGCCAGATACAATCTATAGTCAGCTCTAGAATCTATCAAATTCAGTCCAAGAACTTCCAGTACTTTGCTGAAGTAATTTTTTTACTTGAAATTTGAAAGTCATAACATCACCACAGTTTTTAACCAAGAGAAAGACAATGATCCTAAATAAATATGTATATTAACTACAAACTGAGTACTAGTGCCAATGGAACCATACTGACAAGAAAATGTTGAATTCCAAGAGGTGCATTTCAGCTGTGTATGAATTCTCCTTCAAAGTATTGGTGGAATGGCCGTGGCTCGACAGAAGCAGATAAGACACACTCCCCACCTAAAATACTATCCCCAGTTGGAAGGTGGTTAAGCCAGCCACTTTTTAACCCCTAACTACCCTTGGTGGTGATACATAATATGAACAATATTACATACAAGATCATGCACTTTCTTCACCTAGATTTAAGGCTACAGTATTGTAAAAACAGAACAGTCTGTAGACTTGAAAACAGTCGGTCACATGTCACATGATTTACACCAAACACTTGAAGTGGAGACCTATGAAAACTCATAAAACAGGAATACAGCAGCCTCATACAGATACAGGAATGAGGAGTTACATAATTACATTTAGTGCACTAATTACAGCATATTTCACATTCAAGATAAGGACAATGAGAAACTGACTGAGACACCATCTGAGAAATATTTACAATATTTTCATGTTATGATGCATCTCTGGTTTGATGTCATATACTAGAGACAGCAGTCTTTGTAAACATTGCTCTCTTTGTTTTTGCACGTTGCGGTTGATTTCTTCTATTTTCAGGCGAGTATTTTGATCTATTTTAGCCTCTGTGTCTCCTTTTGATCCTAGCACCTGTAAAGAGAAAATATAATGTGGTGACACCTGTAAAGAGAAAATATAATGTGGTGACGCCTGCAAATATTTACTGTCAAACAACCACAATTAAAAATGGGTGGGATTTTCACCAAACTCCATCAAATGCTTGCAATATTTAAACACCACTTACATGAATAAATTATTACTAACAATGTCATACTGATCAGTTACTTTGATAAACTATACTATTACTACTAAACTGAAATTGAACAAAATATTTGTAAAGAAAAAAATCCAGTATTTATGTAGTAATACCATGGCCAAAATTTTCCTATCCATATATCCTGAACAGGTCCTTTTACGTAAACAGATTCAGGTTCAGAAAAGGTTGTGAACACTATATTGTACTGCCAGCCTCTGCTGTCTACATATACAAACCTTTGCTTCATATTCTTTATACTGTTTCTCTCTCTCCTGTCTGTATGCGTCCACCTCTGCCTGGGCTTCTTCTTTGGCTTGCTTCAAACGCTTGGCTTTACCTGATTGTTTATAAAAATATACATCATTTTGGAGTGGGGTGGGTTCTTTTTTGGCCTTAATGGTTAAACATTATTCTTATTTATAACAAACTGGGGAAACTATCGGACAAAATCTCACAATCCCAAGTCCCAAGAACGCTGAAAAAGTGTAGACAATCTTGGGAGTAGAAAGTTGAATGTCGATGACATGACAGCAAAGCCAAGGGGATTGTCTTTCACTCACTGTGAAAATTTAGGACTGTAGTTCCCACATTTAATCCCTAAACATAATTACAAGTTAGAGAAATGTGCCACTTACGTTTTCTGGCTTCTGCCACCTTCTCGGCGGCGCGTTTTTCAGCGACTAAAAGCTGCTGTATTCCTGTCGACTGACTCGCCATTTTCATCAGATGTCGATCATGTGACGGTCAAGGTCATAAGGAAGGTCATGTGAAATGTTNGTCATAGCCATCCAATGTTAAACGAGCTACAGCACAATATGCTGAACAATTGCTGTACTATAACAAAAACTGAGCAACCCCGCAAGTCATGTGCACGATGAAATAGCTGTTCTTTGCTTGGGTTTTCAGACTACTTCAGATATATAAGATTTGTGGTGCACATTAATCTTGCGTCAAATTCATTCACAGTCATAATGACAAAGTTTCTACTGGGACATTTATCATTATAATTTAGCTCCAAATCTTATTTTGTGGTTCAATTACAAGGCTTAGACTGTATGTGTATGTGACTTACACTTAACTTCAGTCCTTGACTTTCCCGTCTTAACTGGTCCTATGAAGCACCCACGGCAGTTCTTAAGAGTACCAAAAAACTGAGTAAAGTTTGTGTTCACAGGGTCTTCCTTCCTTCTGCGCTCTCTGTCTTGTTTTCTTCTGACGTCATCATCACATGAGTTTGTAGCAGTAGCCGCGCGTAAATATATAAATATTTGATTCTAATTTATTTTTTCCGACATGGTTTACAGCAATATATTTATTAGAATTATAGTAAATTTATGTAAATTTCGATAAAGAATTTGTTAGTACTTGTCTTATTTTATTGCATAGTGCAACAATATTTTCACATTTCTGATAAGGATCAAATTTATGGTGTGTGTCATTGAAGGTCAAGGTGAGAGAAGGCATGGAAGTTGGTCGACTGGAAGTTGTAAGTATCAAACACAAATTGTGCGTGAATGTATGTAAAAATTAATTAAGCTTATTCAGTCTGAAATCATTTTATGCAAGGAGCTGAAATTGGTAATGTGTGGGTCTGAGGATTTTTTGAGATAATAATAATAATCTGGTACATATGTAGGATTTCTTTAAAATCAGGATCGACAACCTGCTGATTCTTCAAAATATTACAGTTTGCAATGCTCATATATTTGTGGAGAATTTAAATTTATTTATTAATTTTTTTATTTAAGGTGGAGCCAGAGAACCCAGAGGATGAAACCTGCAGGACATTTGTGATGCACAATGAAGACCATACTTTGGGAAATTCACTCAGATATATCATAATGAAGAAGTAAGTTTAACCTGTGTCACTGACTGTCAGTGGTTTTATGTAGAAGAAAGATGCATTATTTACCCTAGACCTCTTTGGTATCATACAGATAAATAAATTTTACTGTTAGTGTTATCCTTTATACTTATATAATGTTTACATGTTATGGTATGCAGGCTAACTTTCAAACATAAGATCATGGCAGGAAAACTAGAAAGCTTGTGTATGTTGCCTTGCAGCTTTTATTTTTTACGGTACTTTGAAACCCAATTTTTTTATCCTTAAACTATTATTATTTATGATTTTAAACCATTTCTTTATATCCAGCCCAGAAGTTCAGTTTTGTGGGTACAGTGTTCCCCATCCATCAGAAAGCAAGATAAATTTACGAATACAGACAAATGGTATGTAGGATTCCTTAAATATTAACAAAAAACATTTGATTTTCACAAAAGTTAATTATTATCATATTTCCATATGTAAACCATTGTGGAGATTTAGAAACTTTTTTTTTAATATTTGACATATGTAATTCCAATTGTTATTATTTCTGGGTACAGTTATTATATAACAGTTTATGTGAGTAATAAAACAGCCATTTTTCATTACCCTGCATGAACTGTACTCAGCAAACTCCTAGACTTGGTCCATCACTTTTTCACACCAGGTTTGTCAATTCTCATTGCAGGGCCACCTGCTGTAGATGTCTTACGAAGAGGACTCGTGGAGTTGACCGCAGTGTGTGAACATGTCCTGACAACATTTGAGGTGACACTTCTACATTGCTTGCCATACATCCTATGCTCAAACTCTTAATTATTGTTAATCTAATAACTTAAAAGTTTTTGTCAGTTTTTTCTTTTTATTTCAGTGCTTACTATTGCTAATATATTGTAATTTTTAGAGGAATTCAAGATATCTAACATGTAACATTGAAATTATTTAGCATCATTGATAATTGATTCACTGTCTTCGTAAGGCATGATTTTCTTAAATGAATTTGACAATGTATTATTAAATAAATCATTTTCAAATTTGCAAATGAATCTCTAGATAAAAATTTCGACATAATGATACTCTTTTTGTGCCTCTGAATCTCAAGATACATTTTTTCTTTCAGACAACAGTGAACAACTTCAAGAGAATACAAGGCAGTGGGGAGCCTATGGACACAATTTGATGTGCAGTCTAAGGAGGAAGACTATGGACAGTAAAATTGCAGACTGTCATATAACACATTTTGCTAGTCTTTGAAGTTTTCTTTGAAATTGTCTGTCTAAATATTTGAACAGAGGGTTCTCAGTAACAGTTCAGTACAGAGTTGCTATCTGTGGAAGTTAGAGAAGCCATTCCTTTGCAAATAGTGCATTGTGAGACATTGACTCCTTAAACCTGTGCACTATGCATCTGCTTGGAATTTCATCTCATTTGTTACGGTGATAAGACTGGCACATAGAATTGGAGACTTTGACTGCAGGCCACAAACAATTGTAATACTACATTTATGACTGAATAGTGAACAAGATTCTTCCACAATAACCTCAGTTTAAAAACTGATATTTTCTTAGACTTCTGTTGTAGCTTAGTAGGTGTATATTGAGGCATAAAGAATTTGACACTATCATATGACATTTCTCGTTTAAATGACAGGTCATGTGTTCTTTTGTATACAATATATTTTCATGTTTTCGTTCATGAATGTTTGGGAATTTTGGTAATTATAGATACTCTATACAGTAATGGGGAGTAAAGCAGAAGGCAATTAGAAAGGAGGTGGAGAGTTTTTTTTTTTTTAAATTTCAAACCTTCCAATATTAACAAGCATCAATACTTAACGTAACATGGATGTTAAATGTCTTATATGATGGAAGGCCAATATGTTGTTTTGTAGGTTTTTCGTGCATAAATTTTTCATTAATTTTCAGTTAAGTAGAAGTTGAGTGCTGGACACTTTTTTACTGTTCAAGATTTAAGACCAAAAAAATTTAGATCATTCATGAACTTAGCCCATGTTATGAATACTTGAGAAACCAATAAACACATCTGAATGATGTACAGTTGCAAACTTGACCTCTGGTTGCCGTATTCAAAAGCTTTTTAAAACTTGGTTAAGGCATTTAATCATTTAAAAAAATCAACAACATTAAAATGTGAGATTACTGATAATGATTTTATTTATACACTAGATTCTGCTGCCCACAACCAAGCAATACATACATTGCACATGTACTGCTGCTTCATACAATGAAAGCTACAGCTACATATCAAAGAAGAAAAAACTTACAACATTGTTATCAGCAGCATAATTCTTACAATCTTCACAAGTAAGAACAAAAGAATGCCAGATACAATCTGTAGTCAGCTCTAGAATCTATCAAATTCAGTCCAAGAACTTCCAGTACTTTGCTGAAGTAACTTGTTTACTTGAAAATTGAAAGTGATAACATCACCATAGTTTTTAACCAACAGAAAGACCATGCTCCTAAATTAATATGTATATTAACTACAAACTGAGTATGAGTCCCAATGGAACCATGCTGACAAGAAAATGTTGAATTCCAAGAGGTGCATTTCAGCTGTGTATGAATTCTCCTTCATAGTATTGTTGGAATGGCTGTGGCTCGACAGAAGCAGATAAGACACACTCCCCACCTAAAATACTATCCCCAGTTGGAAGGTGGTTAAGCCAGCCACTTTTTACTCCTAACTACCCTTGGTGGTGATACATAATATGAACAATATTACATACAAGATCATGCACTTTCTTCACCTAGATTTAAGGCTATAGTATTGTAAAAACAGAACAGTCTGTAGACTTGAAAACAGGTCAGTCACGTCACATGATTTACAACAAACAGTTGAAGTGGAGACCTATGAAAACTCATAAAACAGGAATACAGCAGCCTCATACAGATACAGGAATGAGGAGTTACATAATTACATTGAGTGCACTAATTACAGCATATTTCACATTTAACAGAAGGACAATGAGAAACTGACTGAGACACCATCTGAGAAATATTTACAATATTTTCATGTTATGATGCATCTCTGGTTTGATGTCATATACTAGAGACAGCAGTCTTTGTAAACATTGCTCTCTTTGTTTTTGCACGTTGCGGTTGATTTCTTCTATTTTCAGGCGAGTATTTTGATCTATTTTAGCCTCTGTGTCTCCCTTTGATCCTAGCACCTGTAAAGAGAAAATATAATGTGGTGAAACCTGCAAATATTTACTGTCAAACAACCACAACTAAAAATGGGTGGGATTTTCACCAAACTCCATCAAATGCTTGCAATATTTAAACACCACTTACATGAATAAATGATTACTAACAATGTCATACTGATTAGTTACTTTGATAAACTATACTATTACTACTAAACTGAAATTGAACAAAATATTTGTAAAAAAAAAAAAAAATCCAGTATTTATGTAGTAATACCATGGCCAAAATTTTCCTATCCATATATCCTGAACAGGTCCTTTTACGTAAACAGATTCATGTTCAGAAAAGGTTGTGAACACCATATTGTACTGCCAGCCTCTGCTGTCTACATATACAAACCTTTGCTTCATATTCTTTATACTGTTTCTCTCTCTCCTGTCTGTATGCGTCCACCTCTGCCTGGGCTTCTTCTTTGGCTTGCTTCAAACGCTTGGCTTTACCTGATTGTTTATAAAAATATACATCATTTTGGAGTGGGGTGGGTTCTTTTTTGGCCTTAATGGTTAAACATTATTCTTATTTATAACAAACTGGGGAAACTATCGGACAAAATCTCACAATCCCAAGTCCCAAGAACGCTGAAAAAACGTAGACAATCTTGGGAGTAGAAAGTTGAATGTCGATGACATGACAGCAAAGCCAAGGGGATTGTCTTTCACTCACTGTGAAAATTTAGGACTGTAGTTCCCACATTTAATCCCTAAACATAATTACAAGTTAGAGAAAATTGCCACTTACGTTTTCTGGCTTCTGCCACCTTCTCGGCGGCACGTTTTTCAGCGACTAAAAGCTGCTGTATTCCTGTCGACTGACTCGCCATTTTCATCAGATGTCGATCATGTGACGGTCAAGGTCATAAGGAAGGTCATGTGAAATGTCTTTTTTGTGCGTATTTGCTTTTCGTGTGGAAGCGTGATTTTATGGAAGGTATTTTTCACATTTATGTTTTGTAACTCAAAATTTTCTTTTAATGCGCTTGATTTTATAAAATATACATAAAATGTGCTATCCAAGCGCCATCTTTTGACCTAAAAGAAAACTAATAATATTTATACAAAATACAAAATGCTTTAAAATATCCTCTTCGGTCAAACATGTACGCACATTACAATTTTTTTCTGGTGAAAAAATATGAACAGATAGAATTTGGGAAAGCAATATTTTGTTCCCTGATTCGGACGCTCCACCAGTTCGGGCTTTCTTTTTTGTGCAACCCCAATCAACCAAAACTATGACGTATTTCTCAGGGAGCTGTCTGCAAGGAAGGGAGCCCGACCTCACCCAATAAGAAACTTTAATTTCCACCGATCTCCTTCTTCCAATGGTAACATATTTTTTACATATAGCAGAGACCAACATTGAGCCCTACTAGATATGCACGTCGATCGCACCTGAACTTCGTGAGTGACTTACACTCAAGTTTTAAGTTGAGAAATTTAATCCCCAGGTTCAGTTTATATGAGAGAATTCCCAAGCCATAATTTATCGCACAGCCTCCCAGCAGCATGGTGAAGAAGGTGACTATAGACCCAAAGCGGGTAACCTGGGCGTTGGAGGATATGGATAAACTGAAGAGATATATCTGCCTGGGCTCGGAAACTCCAACTGCCAGAGTTGCCGAAGATCACGAGAAAGATCACTGCGAAAACGTCATTCAGATGGTCAAGACGGGCAGCCAAGGTCCACAAGTGGTAGAACTCCTGAAAGAGTACAGCGTCAAGGGTTACGTTGCATGTCAGAAACCCTTGATCCGGTGCCTCGCAATTTGTGTCAACATTGGAGATGGAGAGACCAAGAAGGCGGCATTGAAGGCTATGCCAGAAATCTGCAGGATACCAACGGACCTGTTCCTGTTTGTTCAGTACTGTGTTCAAGGACTGGGGCAGCCTAAAGTGAAAAACGAAAATGGTTCGTGGGGTCGGGCAATGCGTACCGCAGTAAGCCAGTGGTATTTGACAAAAGAGCCCAAGAATTTGGCCTACTTGATGACCAAGTATCGCAAGCGTTATGGATGGTCCCATGTCAATCTGTTTAATCTGACACATCCAAAACCAACAAATGAAGGTACCAGATACATTACTTATTACTCTCAAATAGTGAGAAAGACAGGCAAAATGGCTTTAAAGGTCTGCTATTTTAAGTCTGTCTTTAGTTGGTGGATGTTGAAACTGGTTTAATAATTAATATATCATATAATAATTAAAGGAAAATATTTTTTTTAAATATCATTTCAGTCAAATTATCTTTAGCTTTTGCTGTATATTGTAAATCCTAAATGAGGTAAGAGCACCTTGAATACTGATGTTCATTTGTCCAACTCTAATTGAAAAATCCAAGAAAATAACTTCATTTTTGGTTCCAGCCATGGCTGCAATCTTCACATATGAAATGAAGGGCCTGGAAGCCATGACCAGTAAGCTAAAAGATAAGAACTTATCCGATGATGTGAAGGACTTAGTGGCATACTTAAAGGCCGTCCATGAGGTGAAGCACAGCACAGACATTCACCTCATCACTACCTACATAGAGGAACATAGCCTTGTCTGGGAACATGTGCCCTCCAATACTTTGAAGCTCAAGGAAGTGAGTATATCTTAGTTATTCAAGGGACTTTTTTTTTCATATGTATTGTTGGTGAAACTGTCCATGTACCAATACAAAGAGCTAGTGGTTATCTTTTTACAATTACTAAGAAAATTAAGTCCCATGATAGGACTCCTACAGACCCATTCTATTTTATCAATAGTGAATACACCAAGTATTCCTCATTAGAATGTACCTTTTTCAATATGTCCTAATGCCCAGGATTCCAATCTGTATCATTGATCAGGTATGGCAGGCGTTACTCCCTAAGATGCCTACCACGGCCATGCTGCGGAACTTATTTAGACTGGCTGCCCTGGGACTGCTGCAGCCTGGCAGTACAGGGAGCACAGTGGTCATTGAGAGACTCAGAAATGAGAGCAAGTTAAGAGAAGCAAGGTAGGTTCAGTAATCCTTATACCAGCTTAGGTCTAGAGTTAACTGCCAGATAAGGTATAGATAAAGTACGAGGCGCTGAGCTTTACGAGAAATAGAGCAGATAATTGGTGAGGTGAAGCCTGTGCAATGGTGCGTGGAACGCGTTCGTGGATGACATGACTTTAGGAGAGTGCTTTAAGTTAAATGAAAATCAACTTGTCATTAGAGATGTGATTGTAATGTGATTGTATTGTAGGGATTTCCTGATATTAGACATTTTTTTAAAATTATCCAATTACATCCTTGCTGGTGTTTACTATTATGGAAATGTCCAGCAATTTCAAAAAATTTTATTTCTATCCTCTTACTAGTATATCTATGGCATTATTATTTTATCAGTAATGATTTAGAAGTGTGAAAAATATTCCACTGATTTATTGGATGGCACTTGGATGAATAAAAAACTGTTTAGTTTGAAACTCTCTGCTATTCCTTACATAAAATGTGATTAAAACTATCGAAAAGTTCTCTGTGATTGTAAGGCAAGCTTATGTAACCAATGTTCAATACACGAGAAATGTGTATTTCTAAATCAAATCCTGAATGTTTAGTATTTTTATGACATTCATACTAGTAATTGTACATATTTTCTAGTTTAAATTACTTCTCTTAAATTTACCTTTTTGGCTTACAGAGTACTTAAATTGCATTTTTTTTTTTTAATTTGTTATTGTTTTTCCTCTAGAATCCATCCATTTAACCTGCTGGTGACTCGGAAGGCATATAACAAGGGTAAGACATCAGGCAAACCAGCCCGGCCATTCACTGGGAAGGGCAAGGGAAAACCTAAAGAAAAACAAGGCAAAGAGTGGACTCCAAATAGTGATATTGTCAAAGCTTTGGATGAGGCTTTTTACACCTCATTTAAGGTAAGCTAAATCTGGAATCTACTGATAGGCTGTGTTTTTCTCTTCAAACTTTGGATGCTTAAACATTTCATCATTTTTTTTTTCAAGTTTTTTTTTCTTAGATGCTCGTACATTTCTTAGGCTTTGTCATTTTGATTCAGATAAGCTTCATCTTTGAAATATGGACTACTGAAGCTGAAAAGAGATTCCTTTTTTGAATGAATTCAGTAAAATTGTGACCTAAAATTGATAGTATTAACTATAAGACACATGGTTACTTCTTTTAAAGAATAACATGATTGTTCTAGTATTGAATATACTCATTCAGCAAAATTAAAGGGGGCAACTTTTTGGTTTTATCATCATTTTCACATTCAATGCCCCAAACATGACTCGTATTTTAGTGTCTTAAACCAACCAAGAAGAGCTACCTCATGGCAGTAGATGTCAGCCAGACGATGCACCGAGGACGCGTCAACGGAACCAAAGAACTCTGTGCCATTGAGGCAGCGGCTGCCATGGCTATGGTGATTGCTAGATCAGAAGAGAAGTACGAATTTGTAGCTTTCGCAAAGAACCACCCAGATGGCTTGAGTCCTGTAGAGCTGAGAAGCGACAGCACATGGGAAGATTTAATGTTGAATCTGAAAGTCCAGGAGGTGAGTATAATTAATGGTAAAAAATAATGGCCAATTTTTGGCAGATGTTATATTCGCTACAGTGCATTCTGTTCTGATAGCTCTGATTATTTTGTCCCCCCCCCCCCTCCTCAAAGAAAGGGAGATATTGCCACCACTAAAATAGAAGGAATGAAATTTAGTTTCCTTTCAAAGTGTTTCCTCACCTTAGTATTCATATGGTATGTGTAGAATATATACTTCATGAGATGAATGCAATTTGTACCAAATGTTCACAAGCAAGAGGTGTTCCTAAGTAAGACAAATTGAAGTCGATGTAAATCATATAAATTAGAACATGATGACAAAAGTAGTATTACATGATCATGTAGTATTTGTAGAGAAAACAGTGACATGGAGGAGTATATTTGGTAGTAGAAACGGTGAATTCTTTCAGGGTAAAACTGACTGTGCTCTACCCATGCTCTGGGCCAAGAAACACCAGAAACCATACGATGTCTTCATGGTGTTCACTGACAGCGAGACCCTCCCCACTGACGTCCAACCCAAAGATGCACTGGCAGAGTACAGGGCTGCTGTCAAGGGGGGAGAGGAAGCAAGGTGAGTCATTGAAAATATTAACTGAGTCAGATTCTTTATAAACCTTCACACAAAAGGTATACTTTTGAGTCATGGACTTCAAAAGTCTACCTACATTGTTACACATATAAATAAGCAGCACATTTACATAAAAAATGTTTGCACACTTTTATAATGTCATATGGGAATGTTCATAGATATTCTGCTCTAAGTCTGGCATTTATATTGCTTTTGAAGTGCTTGGGTAATCACAAAGTTAGTGCTAAATAGTTTGAGGAGTATATGATTTATTAATAAGAAACAGCTGATTAATTAATTCTACAGAGGATTTTTGCTCGGAGTTTCAAAAGCCCATAAGTTAATGCCTGTGTGACATTTTGTGTAGGTTGGTGGTATGTGCAATGAACAGCCAGGGGTTTACTATAGCTGACCCCAATGATGCCAGGATGCTGGATGTGGTGGGCTTTGCCCCCGATACACCAGAGAAGATCCACCAGTTTGTGCTGGATTTTAACCCGGATTTCCAGCCAGCAATGCAAGAAGATCCCTGATGAAAACGAGGCTTGGTTGCGGAGATCAGGCTTTGAGGAACAGTTCTTCTTGTGCTGGAAGTATGGGAGTTTGCTTCAAGTTCACTATTGTGGGTATATTACCCTATATTTAGACCTGACAACCTCATTGTTTGGTCTGTTTGGTGTATTCAAGTTGCTTCTTATATTTATGTCAGAATGACAGGTTTACTGCATTTGAAATGGCAAATCTGAGATTGTGATGAAAAAAAGACCAAGAGTAATCTGTGCATAATTTTGATGACCTTGCCTGATCCCTTTCCTCGTGTTTTAGCAATAAGAAATTTGCATGAGCTTCCCAACGTATGTCTTGACCTACTAGCTAGAAAAAAGGAAAGAAAAAGAAAGGAAAAAAGAACAAAAAAATGAAATTTATATTTTAAAACATAACAGTGAACGGTGATTTGTTTCATTCAATTTATTTGCGATTGGTGAATATGAACATGCACTGTTATGAGTAAAAAAAATCTCTATAATGAAGGCTGAATTGTTTTATTGTTATTTATATGTTTCTTTTTAACTGTTCTCAAATCAGACTGCTTATTTATGTACACAAGTTAAGGTTTAGAAGAAATGTCCTGGCTTGGTGGATTTTGGTGCTTAGATATCAGACAGCTGTGAAAAGTTTGAACTGTGAAAAGTTGATCATTATGAAAATCATGATACAAATTCAAGAAATGACTTTATGCAGTGGTATCTACTTCATGGGAATTTTGATACTATTTTATGGTGAATATGCTGTGGCCATTTGACTGCCAGACATAGCACATGGTTTAATAGATCTAATCACTTAACCTTTTTATATATCTGTTAATTTTCATTTGCATTCTTTGTACATACATGTCTGTTTGTATGCAGAAGTACTTCTGGTTGAAGTACTGGGTATTAATGGCAATACATTTCCTGGAGTTAATTGACCATAATTATTGAAGCTCTGCTTTATTGAGAGTATTGAAAAGTAAAAGACTTGTCTTGCAAGGATGAGAACTAGACACTGCTCAAACCTTACCCATGTTCATCCACAAAATGGTACATCTTCAATACTCCCTTCGAGTCTGATTTGTATTTTAACAGTGATGGTAGAACGTATACGTCCTTTAGCATTCCTATTTTCATTTTCATGACCTGTGATGCAGTAAAGCAGTGTGCTTATTGAAGATTGTATCTTCTACTGACATTTTGAAAACCCAAGGTCATTTCTGCCGCGGGTTCTGTTATATACAGGCCTTGTGACAGGAAAGTGTAAATAGGAGTGCTAGAGTACAACTGTTAGCACTTCACTGGTCATCAGGTTGTCAGATTTTTTTTTTCTTCTGAAAACCACTGTACAGCACGGTCATACTGGCAACCATGTATATCAACATGTCAAAAAAATTGTTGTTCTGAAGTCATTTGCTTTATTTTGATATGCTTTTTTTTAAGTTTATAGAATTACAAATGTGGGATATTAAAGAAGTTCCAATGCTGGACCAACCAAAAAATTGCAATAATTCCAGAAATTAGCCTCATTTTGAAGAATGAGACGATTTCTCAACTCTCCTCATTCATTTCATGTCATCAGTTATAAGTTTAATTGTCGGGTTTAATTTTCATAAAAGAAGAATGAAAGAAGCGTGTGACTTTCTTTTCGTGTTTTTTTTTTTTTTTTTTTCTGAGTCTGTACAAAACAAGACCAGAATTGAGACAGTTACTTGTACTCAAAACAATTGGGAATCTTATGTGTTAGCTTAACAATCTTTGAATCATATCTAAACCATGCTGATGAATATATTTATGCTCAGAATCAAGATGTGAAAATAAATATAACTTTCTTTTTTGAAAGAACGATCAATACATTTATATTAGAAATTGTTTTCTAGTTAGGATCTTCTTGTTTAATATATATATGATAAAGTATCCACAACAGATTACTACATTGCAGTTTCAGAACATTACCCTCTTATTAAAATCTAACTTTTTCTGCAGAAGGGTCTTGAATGTGCATCAAGCACAATGTCACAAATTATTTTACAAAATTTTACAATATCTTAGAGATTTTTCATCATTCAGAGTGACTAGCTTTGTTAACACGAGTCTTAGGTGTCACATTAAACTGTAGTAATACCTTTACTTAGGGTTGTCTTTTATTGGTGCTGTGATGCTATCTACCTGCTTTTTGGAACTATTACAATAGTCATACTTTGTTTTAGAATAAATGCTATGACTGAAAGGTGTTGTTCTTTTTATTCTTTATCATATTTTTCATAAGTAACTTACAATAATCCTTCCACTGCAACATCAAATGAAAGTTCCTATCAAGATGTGCATTAATCACAAAACTGCTCCCCCACCCCCCACCCCACCCCTCTCGACAAAAAAAACGAAAGTCAAAGGCAAATGATGAACAACTCAAATTTGCAACTTCCATGGCAACAGCAAATGAAAGTTCCTGTCTAGGTATGCATTTATCTTAAAACTGCCCCCTCCCCCTCTCCCCCTCCGAAAAAAAAGAGGAATCTTTAGGATCAAGAATTTCTTGTACATCAAATGGCACAGGCAAACAATGAACAACTCAAATTTGCAACTTTTTTCCTTCCTCCCAATCACATGTTCATTGCACTCTGTTTGGTTTGTGATTCTGTCCATGCCTTGGCTATTGTCCGCTTCATCTCGTCATCCCCGTCCTCGTACATTTGTTTCATCATCTGCATCAGACCCTCGCCAGGATCCTTATCATCTAGTTTTGGCCTGAGATAAAACATGATTTCAAGGTTTTAAAATATCCTCTACTCACATAATTTCTAACTGTAAGCCCCATCAAGATAAGTGGGAAAATAAAAATAAGCTGCTCTTTGTGAATTTACAGCAATTGTGGCAAACCAACAGGACAATTACTTTCCAAACATTGTCAATGGTTATTATTGATAATTATGTCGATAAAAACAAAACTTAAATTTAAAAAAATTCCTGATACAAACTGTCTACATAAGGTGTGTTTGACAGGGTTTTTATTGTTCTTAATTTCTAAATTGAGAAAGATAAGTAGCTTTGCAGGATATCCATACAGAAAAATGAAATTTCACAAACAGGACATTTTCAAACAGGGTATATACCTTTTAAATTAGTAGTAATGTTGCCTCCTGTAAGACAAAATCAAAATTGATATTAATAAGCAATTTTTATATTAGAAATTTTTGCTCACTTTTTCTTCTCCTTAATCTTGTTTTCTGTCTCTGTGACATAGGCCCATGTTTTCTTTTGTTCTTTCTTCTTCAACATTACCAAAACCATGTCTGTCTTCACCTGCAGGCAAGGTAGAAAATGGCTTCATAATGCACAGAAGTTCCAGCAAAATTAATAATAATAATAATTATTATTATTATATAGTTAAGATATGACTATCACTAAATAAATATCTCCAATGAAGCTACACGTAACCAGGGTGTGGAATGCTGTTATATATCCCATAATACAAAGGCTCATGACAAGCACTCTAGTTCTTACTTTATGATAACTCTCTGTAGGAATTATGTCATCAAACAAGTGTCGGATTTCCAGAAGGTAGTCCTTGCCTTCCAAGTCTTGTATTCTTAATTTCATAGACCTGAAATGAAAAATAAATGTGCATTAGTTGCACAGATATAAAATCATAGCAAATAGCCCTCATGATGACTAGTTCATCACAGAAATGTAGCATGATGTAAATTCAATCTAAAATGCACTAGTACAATAATATAAATGCAGACAGTCCACTTGTGCAAAAAAAAAAAAAAAAAAAATTGACAGCAAGTTGACTACAGAACACAAATTACCTCTCTGTAAAGGATGATGTCACATTTTCTGCTGGGTTTTTCTGGACACCATTTGATGTGACATAAATCTTCATAAACTTATCAGACTGGTCCCAGCCTATGGAAAGAAAGTTTTCACACAAAATCATTATTCTACACTGTATCACTAAAAGAGCTGGCACTATTTCTTAAATGACAGGAGCCTTAAATTTTCGAACAAAATTATTCAAACAGAATCAAATGAAATGAGGAAATGTCATTGGGGAAAATACTGCTACCAGTAACAATACTGTCTGCACCACAGCTTCCATCATTTGTTCTCTATATATCTAGCTATTAATCCACCAAATCATGTATACTCATGCAACAACTTTTTACTCAAATCTAAGTTATAACAGCTGTAGTTATAGTTTATAAAGACTGAGAAATGTGACAATTCATAACAGACTGTTTAACTCATTAATTCCCTTAAGCTTACAACTTGCAGCCATATGGCATTTCTACAGTGAATCTATCTTCTTTTCTCCTACCATATGTAGTGATATCTACAGTACATCTTGTCTTTGGCACTGGCACACTTCCCAGCTTCACTCCTAAACTCTGGGCTCCATTTGCCTGTGACGCTTGGCTCTGCAATACTCTGTCTCTTTCCGTTTCTAAACTTTTTATGCTTGTTGCTAAAATGTCTTTCACTCTTTGTCTTGTAGCATGGTTTTGTAATTGGAGAAGTTCATCTATGTCTACCTGAAGCTGGGAAAAGATTACAAAGTATAACTACTAACAGAACCCATTTTAGGTAAATTGTGACTAATACTAGCTGTTGGTTACTGGTACAAAGTGTAAATGTTCTTTATCTGATAAAAGACTGACGTTATAAAACCAACGTGGTTTATGACAGTGAAAACTGTAAGGGGTACAAATCATCAGTCAGATGCACTCTTATTGGCATTTTTATACTATTAGTAAAATGCAGGAATGATTTACTAAGTTGTGAAGCTCCCTTTTATAAAATCTCTAATCTTCATGAGTTGCACACCAAAGAAAGGCCAAATAATTTTGCTATTAATGTAAATTCATATCATTTATATAATATACAAAATTAAATTGCTTAGGCTCCCCAAAAAATCTACTTAATACAGTTGATGAAAAGAGGTGGGTCTAGGTGGGTGTAACTCACCTAAAGTGAAAGTAAATAATGCAGATTGAAACAAAAAAAAAACTAGACCGAACTAACAACTGCAGATTACAATTACTAGAGGTGATGCCAAAATTGCAATACCACGTATGCTATTACTTCAAATCACGTGTCAGCGCAAAGCCACAAAGTTTGCCTTCCATTATGTTTTGCCAGTCAACAGAGGCAGCCGAGGCCTGGCCAATGCACCGATTTGTAATTTGTAGTACATACCTCGGCAGCTGTCATTTTAGCTTGCTAGGACCAAATGGATACAAACCACTGTAACCAAAGTACAGAAAAGAGTTGTATGTGAACAAATATTTGACACCCAAGTGGTCAAACGACTTTTCTAAATAAAAACAAAGCACGTAAAATTTCTCTGAAAGTTCTGGAAATAGAACACATGGGTTTTAAACTGACGTTGGTATTAGGCATGAGATTAGTTTTTAAATATAAATTTAATCAATATTTTAGGTTTGCTAGCTGTAAACGCAGCAAAACTCCATATATTATCAATGTTTCATGAAATATGAATATAATTTTCTGTTTTTGCTTGTGAAACCATTACATAGTCATTTAAACAAGTTTTAGTAACTAAACAATAAAAAAGTGTGTAACTTTACTAGAGGTAGACTTCCTGTAAAACACTTCCGGTGTGCGCAAGTATTAGCACGTGTATGAAGACCAGCTCGTGTTTCTTGGTTATTATTTGATGAATTGAGAGGCCACTGAATTCATAAACGTGGGCTTATAACTTTGAAAAATAAGAGGGATTAATACTGAAATATATGTGAGGATAAGCCAAGCCAGACTAAGGAAAGTAAGCAACACATTACAAACTTGTCTCCTTTCGTCTCCACTCCAGTATGGTTTTTGATGCACTGCTTACATGTATCTTCATTTCTTACCTTGTCTAAATTTTAAAAGTTATTAAAACAGGAACATATAGGTGCGCTTTTTGATGGTGAATTGGTTGGTAACATCAATTGATTGTCATTAAAATCACTGTAACTTGGTAACAGATTGTTGCAATTACTGTTATTTTTCTTAATCTGTTTTATCTTTTTATTTTCTTTGTAGGTTTTACGATGTCATCACTGTCTCCAGCTCATTGTGTTTACAATTAAACCCATTGTTTGTTAACTAGCAAACATGGAGGAGCAGGACCAAGCACTTGTTGACCAGGTGGAGAAGGATAATGAATTCATCAAGCATATGTTGGATCTTATTCCTCCCAGTGTCTATTTTGACAAAGACACTAAAGCAAAGTTGATCCATGAAAAGAAAAAACAAATTCAAGGATTAATTCAAGGTACTGTATATAAATATTTTGAAGGAAAACTGCTACATTAAATTCCTTACATAATAAAATTCCCTGGATTCAGTTCTCCAGCTGTTTGAAATTGTTTTATTGTTTAGTTGAATAACATATTTCACTATTTATCAACTATTTTTAATTGTATAACACAAGATATATGTCTGGAAAAAGCATAAAGCAAATAGAATAATCCTGATCATGGGCTCTTGCTTATTGCATGGTATTTATATTGAGAAAGAAAATGGAATAGCAATTCAAAATCTCCCCATTATAGATTACAAAGTTCATGTTTTTGAGTGTCTGTAATAAGAATTATACTTTGTGAACAACTTTGAAAATGAAGAAAGATATTTCATTATTTTGCAGGCTCAAAGCAGAATTTAAAAAGGGACAATAGAGATTTAACTGAAAAAGCTCTTCTAAAGAGAGCAAAATTTGATCCTCAACAGAACTTGCCTGTCACGCAAATACAAGAGCCAACAAAAGATGATGAAGAGGAAAGTGAGGAGGAAATAGAAGAAAATAAAAAGGATGAGAAAAAGAAAAAGAAGCTGAAATCTAAAACTTCAGACAGATTGGAAGATGGAAATTGTAAGTGTAGAAAATTTAAATGTTGCCACCTGGTTGGCAGTAAAGGTAACAGGAAGTAGCATATACAATGTATTTTTCAATTTTGCAGTGTTGTTTATGATTCTCTCTGGTGAATTTTCCAGTTCAGTCTTTTAAAATGATTCATACAAATAACTTAGTTAATTTATGTTGCATGAATTATATTAATTACCTTTGTACAGTATTTTGTTGGTGTACAGTAATTTAAAGGTTATATTGATTTATTATAGACACAAAAATCAAGAACAAACAGAAGAGTAAAAGGCGGAAGAGGCAAGATTCAATATCTAAAGATCCCAACCTGAAGAGTTCTGTCAGCAATTTGGAAGAACTACGTGAAAAACTGAAGAGCAGAATTGAAGAGTTAAAAAGTGAGTCAGATTGTCAATTAAGCCCGAGTTCTCATAACTATATCGTACTAGCAGGATTAAACTATCTCAGCAGGGATTCTTACTTTGGCGCAGTCAATGTAATCAGCTCAGTTGTCCAACACACCCTCTTGCAACAAAATCATGAACAACATCATGGACCACCAAGTTTTCCCAACTTTGCCCAAGCACTTTAAGTTACAAGGGGGCGGGCCAGACATTTAAGCTGCTTAAACCGAATTAAAGTTAGCGAGAATCCCCAAATGAGTTAGATTGAACACTCCTTAAAGCACATTCAGAATAAATTTATCTGGGAAAGTGTCTAACATCACAGGATGGCAAGACGGCCTGTTTTTAACACAAGATTTTGAGCTCTAAGGTTTAGCATGTGGTCTATGTCTACTGATATTGTTCACTTTTTGTTCAAGTTGTACTAGGAATGAGACCTAGGCTGTACATGGCAACATCATGATCACAGTACAATAAAAAACACAAATTTTGTTTAGTGTATGAATAAAGTCCATGTATCTATTTGAGTTTTATTTTTTAAAATCGTGTTGTAAATGTAGAATTTTGTGTCGCAGAAAGTTTTATTGCCATTTCTGATGGGTAAATTAAGTAATTCTCTTTTCACAGACAAAAGACAGAAAAACATGACTGTCGATGAGATCCAAGAAAAGAAAAGACTGAAGAGAAAGGAGAGCAAGCTCAAGTTAAAGATAAGAAAGAAAACCGAAAAGCAGAACAAGAATAAAGGTGTAACTGGCAATGGGAGTGTGGATGCAGTTTATAATGGGGCACTGCCTGCAGGTCCCAACAAAAACACTAAAGCTGCCAAACCAGTTTTTAATAAAGAAGGCAAGATGGTTTTTAGTAGGTTTGACTTTACAGAAGGCACGAGTAAAGAGAGTAAAAAAAGTAACAAATTTGCTGGAAAAGACTACAAAAAGTTATTGCAAAAGGTTGAAAAACAAAAGGAACATGTTGACAGGTTAAAAGTGTCAGATAAAGAAAAGGCCAAACAGGTTCAGGAAAAAATAACATGGACGTCTGCATTACAAAGGGCAGAAGGAATAAAAGTTAAGGACAACCCAGAAATGTTAAAGAAGGCAGCAAAGAGGAAAGACAAAAAGAAACAGATTGCTAAAAAACACTGGACCGAAAGAGAAGAAAAGTTGAAGGATAAAATGGAGGAAAGGCAAAAGAAACGACAGAAAAACATTAAAGCTAAAAAACAAGCTAAGATAGACAAAAAGATTAAGAGTGCAAAGAAGAGAGGCAGGATAATACCTGGTTTCTAAAAAAGTCATTTTTAATTGGCCTGCCTTCACAAAAAGGCAGTGTGCCAGACTTCCTAGAACACCATTTTTACAGGTTTTTTAGGGAATAGAAGACTACAGTATATTGCCACAGTAGAGAGAATTTCATTGTTACATTATAGATTAAAAAAACTATTTCCATTACAAACAAAAAATTGTCAACATTATGAAGTTATTTTATGTGAAGAAAATAAATGTAAAACGCGATTTGTGGAGCTGGACCACAATATCTCCAGTTGAAGAACTTGAGGTCCGACTGTTTTCCAAAACCTCTTTCCATTGAAAGTCTGTCCTGGTCATGTCTGCAGTGGGGTTGGGATTGTGGGCCTTATAAGTAAAATTTTACAAAGAACCTAAAGGCCTCTTCATTTAATGGATACTTTACCCAATATTTTGGGGTAAGTTGCAATTGTCTTGATAAAGCTTTGTACGCTTCATGGTAACAGTAGCTTAATGAAGAACTTGACTACAAGTTACTGTGGACCTGCTGTTTGTAAAATGCCATCACCCAATAAATATGCACAGTTAGAAGTTAAGTACTGTTAACCCTAACAGTAGCTCAGGATATTTTGTTAAATAGACCCAGGATTTTGATGATTTTATAATTCTAAATTATAGAATAAAGGTGATATTCATTTACAAACATATCATGGCACTAGTTATTTGGCCTTCAGAACTTCATTTGGGAGGAAAATGTATAATTTTACCATCTTGAAATAAAGTCTGGTCAGTCGTAACTTTTTGTCATTTCAAACTCCCATATTTGAAAATTGAATTTACTATTGGCTGGAAGTCCTTCAAAGTTACCAATGTATAATTGTGCCTTTTTTTGTAAGAATGAATTCTGAAGATGAACAAATAAAAAATGGATAAGCTATAATCATAATAATTTCACTGTCTGTTTATTGAGAAAAAAAAAAAAAAAACTGATCCAGAGATCTTTAAATTAATGTGACAAGCAACTGATGCTTTTCTTTCTTCAATCAAAAGGCACATTTCCCACTGTGAGATAGCCCAAATGAATAGGCAAAATACATGCACTGTAACAAGTACATTTACCATATTGCTGTAAAGTTGACTTTTTAATAAGATTACAATGTTTTTATGAACCAGGTTACTAACGATTCATTACACATAGGCATTGTTTACCAATTGCTACTAGCAATATGCCTGTAAATAAAACTGATAGTCAATATAAATGTGAAATGAAAATGTTGGCAACACTCTATTACTTTTTCTCTTTCAACAATTCTGTAGCTAATTCTGTTAAAACAGTCCAGGCAAACTGCACGTCTTTGGACTCTGCATATGGTGCACACACTGCAAAACGCAGGAAGTATGTATTCCCTATTTTAGATGGAACCAGGTGAATCCTGCCATCCTGGTTTATTCTTTGAAGCAGCTGTTCATTAATGTCATTGGCTCCCTGAAAAGTATTCATTAAAATGTTTAAATTACTACTTTGTTTACAGTACTTGACTAAAGTAAACTTTATAATCTGTTTCTAAGTAAGAAAAATACTAGATACTCACAACTGAACAACCAGCTAGTTCTGTCAGTGAATAAAGATGAATGTTGAGAAGAAATTTATGTTTTTTTCCCTATTAAATATTATTTTTGTTTCAAAATTGCTCCAGAATAAATGTTAAGTTATTTTTAAAAATGAATGAATACAGTCTTAAACCCATTTGAATAACTCACCTTCAGTCTAAAGCACACCAACCCCAGGACAACTTCAGCAACAATCTCAAACCTCTCATCTGCCAAGACCAGTGCCTCAAATTCATGTGCCAGTTTTACATGCTAAAATAAAAACCTTGTAAAATTAAGATATAATCTTCTTACTAACCAACAATAAAATTTCTACCACATGCCTTTTACAACATAATCATCATGATTATCTCAGTATATGGGTACTATATGGGTACCTCAAGTATGGTTGGTAAAATAATTTGTTGTGACGTGACAGAGAACATAGTCAACCTTCATGTTAACATAGAGAAAAATAGTGACACAAATTTTTGTTTCGTATCCCTATACCTGTCTGATATACTCCTGCAGTCCCTTGATCCCATGTAGTCGGAGGACAAACCACAGTTTCAGAGAACGGAATCTTCTTCCTAGTGGAATCTGCCAGTGCTGAGAAACAAACATGACAATTAAGGTATTCATCTTTATGCATGGTGTGCCAGCAGTTTTATAATTTTGGAATGATACTTTTATAGTAACATTTATTAAAAAAATTTTAAGGTATCCCATAGAAGATTTCTGAACTATAATTCTACTTTTCGGTGAGTTAAAGGCAAAATAAATCATTGCTCATAAAATTCCTGCTCTTGGATTTAGTATTCCCTGCCATTTCTAATCATATAACTTAGCTCTAAACAATATGATAGCATGGTTTATTTAGATCACCATAGTATTCCTGACATTTCAGAATGGAGGCTACTTTTATTTGTGAGTTTTTTAAGGTCTGAATTGGAAAAGAAGTGCAGCTTTATAGGTTATTTTGACTTACAGATATGACTAACTATCAACATGTAATGATCTTTTCTGGGGCCAGCATATTGCACATATTTTTCTATTGAAAATCAATCATGTGGCTATCACTGTTAAATTGGAAAAGATGCACGTGTGTGTGTGTGTAACCAAAATAAAGTGCATAAGAGAAGAAATCTAAGTTACCCCATTCTATTACATTACTAAAAAGTTGGGCAAAATATTTTGGCTCACCCTGTAGTCTGGTACCTTTCCCTGGTTGTCATGTTTTAGATATAGAGGATCCACATTGAATGCATCAACCAGCTTGCTGCTATCTTTTATCCTAAATAAACAATATGGACCAGTATAGTATTATAGAAACAATTTGCCACTGGCCTACTGCAAATCCATAAATCTAGATGTGCCTCAATGACTAGGATGTTTGTAAAGGTGAAAATTGTACTGGTACTTTCTATCAAACTGACAGGTTGTGTAATATCTACTTTTTTCTTCATACATAACTGCATTATTTTATGCATTTTTTATGTGGCTTTGGATAAAACAGTAAGCTATGAAACCCAGGGTTCCCTTCCTACCCACATACTTACCACATTGTATATATATAACAATGAGCTGTGAAACCCAGGGTACCCTTCCTACCCACGTACTTACCACATTGTATATATATAACAATGAGCTGTGAAACCCAGGGTACCCTTCCTACCCACGTACTTACCACATTGTATATATATATAACAATGAGCTGTGAAACCCAGGGTACCCTTCCTACCCACGTACTGACGAAACTGTGTATAACAGTGAGCTGTGAAACCCAGGGTACCCTCTTTACCCACGTACTTACCACATTGTATATAACAGTGAGCTGTGAAACCCAGGGTACCCTCCCTACCCACATACTTAACACACTGTGTATAACAGTGAGCTGTGAAACCCAGGGTACCCTCCCTACCCACGTACTTACCATACTATATATAACAGTGAGATGTGAAACCCAGGGTACCCTCCCTACCCACATACTTACCACACTGTATATAACAGTGAGCTGTGAAACCCAGGGTACCCTCCCTACCCATGCACTTACCACATTGCTGAGCAGTCAAAGGTCACCCGCAGCCATTTGTGAGGATTGAAGTTAAATGAATCTGCAAACTGAAACAAACAGGGTATTCTTTGTAATACTTTATCATTCCTGGTATAAAAATATAATTTTCATAAAAATGAATTTAATTCCAGAACTCCTTACTGGCTGTTTCTTGTTTTAAAATTCAATATTCTGTTTAACATAATTTTACCTAAAACATATTTGCCAAAAGACTGCTTTCTAAGGGTTCCAACAATATAATATAATATAATATAATATAATATAATATAATATAATATAATATAATATAATATAATATAATGCTTGAGGACACTGGCTTAGAGAACATAACTCAGCTTGCCAGTCTCATGGAATACAGCAGAGTCTGGAAATCTATTTGTGGTGTTGCTAATTCATGATGTAGATGGTCGACTGCAGTTGACATCATTGACTGATTGATAATAACGAGCTCACCTGCACTCCACTGAGAAGATATCGAAATTCAGGACAAATGAAGGCACTGCCAGCATACGCAGCATCAATGTGGAGCCAAATCTTCTCTAAGTTACACACTGCCCCCAGCTCCTCGATGTTGTCAAAGGCACAAGAGGGTGTGGTCCCCAAAGTGCCACACACCTGAAAATGTACAATGTTGGAGACACTATTCTTTTGCATTATCAGTGAAAAAATAACCATATATTTTAATTGCACCCTTAATTAGGGAATACCTGCAATAGAGTTTAAAGAAGTTGATGTAATTATTAGTAGAGGCTTTCACTTTACCTCATCATTTCTCATTTCTTGATCTGAGAATATGAAATTGATTAAATTTCATATCCAGACTAAGAGTACAATTTAATTATATTGCTGAACTTACAAAGAAAGGTATCAAGCCCTTTTCCTTATCTTTTTGTACAGCCTGGGCTAACGTCTCTCCTCGCAATGACTGCTTCTTGTCTGAGGAAAGTTTGACTATTTTTACTGCACCCAACAAACCAGCACGCTCCACTGAAGAATGGGCCTGCAAAGATTACAATATATACATCATTTTCTATTTAGTCAAACTATTTCTTTTCTCTTTTTATTCATAGATACTTGTACAGATGATTTACTTTTGTAAATTTTGTAAAATTAAGATCTACTAATAATAAAGTAATGCAAAAATAGGAGAATAAGTGAAAAATAAAATAATTGTCACTTAATGCAGTTTGCAAAACGAAAATCTGTCTGAAATATATGAAAAGAAACATGGATGGACTAATGTACAAACAGATAAAATGACTTCACAGGAGTGAAACCGTAGCAACAGATAAAGAGAGAGGTAAAAATACTGTGAAATAAACCAAAACCTTTGAAATCAATATATAAACATGACATCAGTTCACCTGATCAGAGCAGTACCCCACCATTCTGGCCATGATGTCTGCTTCTGTCAGTGCTGGGTTGGCTTCCTTCTCTCTGTGGATGGTTTGATTCCTGGCAGCTAACAGGGCAACCAGAGTGGCTTCACTAGCAGTACCCTGAGGGTGGGGCATCAGAAAAATTATATAAATACAGAGAAAATAAATTTTAGATTTACCATAAAAATTTCTATTCTCAATTATATAAAGTTAAGTAAATATGATTCAATAAAAGAAACTTTATTCAAAGTTCAGAGACCTGCAGGTTAGTCTTACAGATAAAGCTTGGACCGAGTAAAAAAAGTGATATAATTCATACCTGGATGACCCCACCCCCTTTCCCTCCAGAACAGAAGAGGAACTCCTGAGGCAAGTCCAACATCTTCCCCAGCCAGTCCATCATCACCATCTCCAGCTCTGTACAGGCAGGACTTGATGCCTGCAACAACATTGACACTACTGTACTCAAAATTTTATTTTTGAAAGAAAGTTGAATTTGGTATTGATCCGGAGAATATCTGTGCTTATTGGCTATTTTATGCAGCTAAATAAAAATCCTACAAAATGCTGCATTTTTTGTTGTTGTTCCAAAAAGATCATGTTCTGATTGACTGTCTTTTGACATTATAATCAATATTAGTGCAACATTTACTCCACACCTTATAAAGGTAAACACTACATACAACAAATCTGATTCCGTTTCACTAAATAATATCTTATTAATAATAAGGAAAGCCACAAGCTGAATCTACAGCACAAGACTCTTTTTTCCAGAGTTGTCAGACAATGATGGCTTTCACCACCTTCATACCAGTACAGATAGCATACATTTCTGTTACTGTTATTAACAGTAAAGACAATCCTGATTATAGATGTAATTAAGTTCAAAACTGACAGTGAAACTTGGTATGCTGTGGTGGTACGTACACCCACTCCCATTACGGATCAATATTCTGGGTTAAAATGTTTCTGCTGTCCCAACTATGTAAACTTACAAGCTTCCTTTTCATTTTCCACCTGATCAATAGACTAAGTACGTTTACCACTATCAAATCAGTGCAATTCTGACTCTTTATCCTTGGAGGTAAATTAACCTTCTTAGATCAATATTAAGCAATGTGTATGCGAATAAATGAATGGTAATATAAATGAGTTTATATCCCATTGTTCCATAAAGATCAGATCAATAATGTTTAATTTGAGTTTGTCATCTCACAAAATCTTGTTCATGTCAGACGAAGGTCGTTGCAATGGTTCATAAGCCATTTTATGTCTGATTCTGTAAATTAAGGCTTTCACCTTCCACATTTGCTCTACATGCATTTATTGGCTCAATATTGGAAAAATCAATTTCCATTAAATTACCATTTTATTCAAATCACTAGTTGTTATAGCTCTTATCAGAAAAGAATCCAGAACAGCATTTCAAACAGCCAACCCACTTGTTTGTAAATAAAATTTCCATCTGGGATTAATTTCTCTAATTTCATAATTATAGTAACCATCTCTAATAAAGTATAAATGTCTTGAAAAATTGACTTTTTAGTGTGAATTAAAGGACTGAGAGACTTCTTTGAAATTCTGGAACCCAAAACATGTATAAAACACTTAATAAAAGTTCTTAAACCTATACAGCCTATAGCACCTGCCACTTGTGAGACTCCAAAGTAAAATTCATGATAGACTGAACACACTTACCCAGCTAAACCCTATACAACCTATTGCATCTGACAGCATATCAGCACACAAGGCAGCATAAGAGTTGGCAGTCGGGAAATATGCATGGAACTGGGGGTGGTGCCAGTGTGTTACCTGGAATCATTTTTTAACAGTAATTATAAATTAATATCATCTAGAGCTACTAAATGCTCAATAAGATGTGAAAAGGTGTGTATTGTAACATGTACATTTTAGGGATATTTTGGTAGGAATGTTTTAATCTTCATCTTGTAAATAGATTATCAAGTCATATGATTTTTAATGATATTCAATTAATACTCATTACACTTAAATATAGTCACTTACTGATCTGAATCCCATCGTGGAAAAAAACACGAGCAATTAGAATGGGGAGAGGAGGAAGAGGTTTGTTCTGGTGATTCAAAAAATCATATTTATGACTGAAGCAAAAAAGGATCACTAAATCAAAATTTGATAGCAGTTCTATGCTAATAGTCTAAAAACTTTTCAGACATATAAACCCCTTTGAAATGGCTAGCTACAGGGTTATGGTAGTACGTACACTACTGATAGTGAAATTGTCATATCCTCTAGAAATAATTCACTTACCCCAGGCATAACTACCCGCTCAATGTCTCCAACCAAATCCTCCCATGACTCAGCAGTTTCTGGAGCAGATTCCGGAACTAGTTCACGAATATACCCAGGCTGCACGGATGGAAACACTGGCCGTTTTTGTATGTTTTCCAAGTAATCAGCCACAGTGTCCACCATTTCTTTCCCTCGTTGACGGAATTCGGCAGCATCCATTGTGACAGTAATTCTGTAGATATAAAAGGTGATTGGGTAATAAAANTGTGACCTAAATCCAAGAGATGGGGACAGGGGTCCTTGCGGTCTAGGAGGAGAAGCGGTAACTGTGACTTGTATCCGGCGCCAGTACGCGGAGCCGGCGGAGCTTACGGAGCCGGCGGAGCCGGCGGAGCCAACGGAGCCGGCGGAGCCGGACGAGACGGGTCGGGACTAAAACCATGAGTACCGCCAGCGTACACGCTGGTGGTACTAATAAATATAGTGACTGCATGTAGTATAAATTCAATAATTTAGGCCATCATTTAGCATGTTACAGACATTTACTAACTTTACATTAGCAATGAACTTCAGCAGTATTTTTACTTTTTGGTATCATGATGCAGGTATAATCACTGGGCCCTTTGATGCTTCATCACTCACACTGAGCTCAGCTAAACTGTCATCTCTTTCTGCCCTTCATCTTTCACTTTACACACAATTACGCTCCCTTAGCATTATACATTATACATCTTTTAATAAACCAGCTTTGATACACACCAGCATAACTTCTCCATGTCATAAAAAACATTGCCTTTGATTATTATAATTTTTTTATAAGCAAATTAAGAGATATTTTGTTTTATACATTTTGCACGTATGATTTTTTTTTTTTTTTACTATTCAAGCTTCCATGTTTGTATTTTCTAAGGATTTTATTTGCACTAAGCCTCAAACAAGGCCAAAATGCTGCTAAAAAGAAAAAAAATCATATCTAAAGGATCGACATATACTAGTATATTTTTAAGACTGAATTTTTTAACCACAAGTACAGCACTAAGTATAATGAGTATAATCTCTAGTTGTCTTCAACTCACCTCTACTTGTTTTATAACTCTGGAATCCTGCCACCAACTGCAGTCTATACAGAAGACACTTGGTAAATGAACCATTGTAAACCTTAGAATCTGAAATCCAAGTAATCACAAAAATATCAATACTCTCCATTTCCTCTTTTATTGCTTCATTAATGGGGGATATAGAGTGGGATTGCTCAGATTTACTGTGTATTCAGAAACTTATGGTTCACCAGAAGCTGGTCAATAAGTCAAATATCACACAGAGATGTCAAGGGCTGCATGCTCATAATATAACTGTATGTTCATTCCGTGTAATGTGGCAAAATTAAGGCCACAAGGAACATTATGATGGCATATTGAGATCTCATGTCATAATATATTAATTATTATGTAACTGTATGCTCATGAAAAGAGCAATAAGATGACATAACCATCTAAGATCTCATGAAGTGGATCAACATTGTACACATCATCTACACTGTATATAGACATGTTACACAGAGAAGTGTCTGCAATTCCGCAATTAAAGGTGAAAAACTGATTGTTATAAAGAGAATATTTACAGCAAGTTGGATTTGAGTGTTATATACCCAATGCTGAAAACCTGATGGTTATACAGAATATAACAACAAATGCGCTTTTAGCCAAGTTCAGATCCCATATGAGTGACATAAAATCAGAGGAAAGGTAGACTTAAGTCCAATCTTAATTCAATTTATGATATAATTAGATAATTAATCATTTCTAAAATTCCTGCACCAAGAAGAATTGCGTGAAAGGTGCTAATAAATAATTTTAGTGTTAATTTGCATCAAAAAGACATTAATTTCAGAAACAAAAACACAGTTGTGCACAGCTGGTCGTCAAGTTGCAAAGAAAAAACAAAGCCTATCTGTAACTTTTAGAAAGTGGAAAAGGCATTAATGAGGTTCATGACATCTTATATAGCTAGAGAAAAAATACAAAAAAATCACTTTATTCATTCAGCTGACTTAATTAATTATACGAAAATTATCTTGCACCATCATCATGTAAAAAAAGCAAAAGACTATTAATAAATAAAAGCAAATGCTGTAAATTTCTTCCTGGGAAGAAGAATCATTTCCCACACAGCTTGAAAACTTAACATTAAAACACATAATGATAATCAATACAATCTTCATTCCATGATGGATCAAATTGCGCACTACCTAACTGTAGTCTGACGTGTTATAATATTTTAATCCCATTGTGAAATCCTACTGAACTGAATAAAATAGCTACATAAGTTTTAATGACAAGTTAAATGCTGTTATAAATGAGCTAATTGATTTAAGTATAAAACATTGCTATAACTGGTACATGTAATTACATTTACCTAGTTTCACAATCATCAGTTGCTGCTGCAATCAATCTTAATTTATTCAACTATTTTTAAACTTCTCTATCCATTGTGTCTGCCTTAAAAATAGAGTGGAAAAAGTTTTAAAAAAATCATATTCCTACATGTATAGATTATCATCATACATTCCACATATAACTTCTTATAAATTAACTTATTATCTTATGTTGCATGTAAACATTGAAATCATGTATATTTATTTATTTACTTGTTTGTACTGTTGTAGTTAGATGTAATTGTCTTTGATTGTACCTTATTTGTGAAGGTGTATCAATAAAGAATCCTTCTATTCCAAACAAGTCATATTTATATATTCTCTAATTACGTGTACCAATTCCAGTCACCCTTCACCTGCAAAATAAATGGTAACTAATATAGTTTGTAGCATATAATGCAAAAATTGACTATCAATGTGTTAGCTGAGACATAACTCGCATTGCACTCGCTTCACGCGCACCTGTCGCACTAACAACAAAACACCGTGCAATCATTGATTATTTTCAAACTGGATACAAACCCGTACTTTACGTAAAATCACCATGCTCATTATGCAAAGAAGTTATAAAGTCATGATCACTTTTTCAGTGTACTTGCTAAAGAAGGGGTTCCTTCCTTTCTCTCACGATTTCATATCCCCGCGTAATTTGCGTGATTCATTTAAATTTAGGTCATAATTGGCTGCATACAAAATTGAGATCGCTTAAGATAGAGGCTTATAAAACTGTTGCAAGTAATAATTAAAAACAAATAATACCCATGTAACGGCTTGAGATATCTTATATATGATGTTTTCTAATAAATCACCCAGGTTAGATTTAAGTATTTATTAAAATTTGTTGAATATATTGTGATTTCATCTCGCCTTCCCATCCTCTTCTTTTTCTACATATCCACAATTAAAAACAGGACGAGGAAGATTCGAAGAATAATACCACCAGTTTTTTTTGCACAATACTGGGTTAAATTAGAGGCTTAAAAGTCAGAATGGACCATAGAGAGACTCTTGAAGATCGTTTGATTGAGTCGAGGCAAAAATTTGACAGAGCTTGCCAGCAAATAGTTGTCCTCGACCAACTAATTCGCGACTTGGAAGTGCGCTACAAACGTGCCGTGAAGAACAAGAAAAATAGTTTCCGCTACAACCTCCGTCTCAAGCTTTCTGCCGTTACGGGGGTCAAAATGATGTATCACCACTACGCAAGCACGAAGGCTGATGAAATCAACAGAATGGCCCGCCAGCTGGGAAGACGACCAGAGAACTTGATGGACCAAAATTGACTTGGGCGCTCCATGCTGCTGTGGTGAAACTGAGAAAAATGGCGGACCATCTCGAAGTATTGGACATCTCTCACTTGCAAAAAATTATGGTTTATAGAAAACCAAGTATCCAAAATTATGTTAAAGATATGTTGCTCGTTTAGGAAAATGGATTCTCCAAGACTAAAACCTTGGAACATGACTTTAAAAAGGGTTTCAAATGAAACCCACAAATCTTCCCAGAAAAGCTATATACCAAGTTGTTCATCTTAAAAAGAGAGAGAGATGATAATGTTCAGTGAATACTAAGAGGCTTTAGATGTGGGCAAGATGAGGAGGGCCTCAGACTTCTATCTGAATGTTTATTTTAAATCCATATCCTTTTTTTTCTAAAGCATGTCTTGTTTCCCTTTCTTTCATTTAGGGGTAGCATATTATATTTTTAAAAAAAGACAAGCTACTAATATCTTTTCTCTATTGGGCTAGTTTAAATTCAAAATCAAGTTAGGTATCTTTCCTCTAAGCACTACTTTTGTTTTTGGGAACATGGGAGCTTATATCATCCAGTTTCATCAACACTGGATTACATAATCCTACGGATAACGCTATTTATTATGGTTGAAATTGTTTAGTTATCCTCTGGTCAAGTATCTTGTGAGTTTCGAAACACTACATACTTTATGATATTGCTATTCAGTGGTAAAAAATGATTGATATCCTCAGGACAACTGCCCAGAGGAAAAAAAAACAGCTTGGTTAGTGTCATCTACAGGATAGCACCATCTAGCGTAGATGACACTGGAGCCTGGTTATCCACCATATGTATACCATTTACATGGGAGACTCACTGAAATGCTAGTAGTAAGATGGCATCCCCTGTTCATTGGCAGAGTGAGAGGAGCAGGATTCAGAGGATTCAGTTATTGGAGGGGTGTGTGATAGTCTAAAGGTCACTTAAGGTGCATTCACATGAATTTATTGTACTATGTAGTGCACACTAACTCCTAGAGGAGCTTTGCTGAAGGTACAGCTTTTCTGAATTTTACTCAACACCAGGAGAAGAATTTGAGAGTGATGAGTGAAGGCACATTGTGAAAAAGGCCTCTTGCAGACCTATGTACTATTACATCAGATGTGGTGAAAATTCTGATGGCATTTTAGTTTTAAAGATTTGCTAGTAAGATCTTGCACTCCCAAACATTTACTGTGAGACACAATTAGGTATATAGGTATTCTAACTACTTTCTGTCTCCAGAAATTATTTGAATAAGTACAACATAAAAAAGTTAATCTTGTTGGTTTTTGAATGGGTTTTTAAAACAAGTGGTCCAAAATAATGTGGGGAATGTATTGAAGGTTAGCCTCATTTGGAGTTGGGGTATATTTTAAGGATGAAAAAAAGGTCAGCCTCTGTCCTAGGCTCCTAGCAGAGTGGAATGATAGCAGATGGAGACTTAGACCTGAAGTCAAAGTGGCTGTTATAATATCTGACTATAAAACTGAATAAAATAAAATTAGGACATCATGTTACGTGTAGATAAGTCTTGAAAGTCTTCAAACTGTGCCTATTATCTGCATTTGTCTTTTATGATTGAAAATAAGTTGTGATCGTTTAACAAAGCAGTTATATTTAGTGTCGGTCAACTCTCCCAGGGGAGATCTCAGCTAAAGTCAACAATTGTTTAAAAGTCTGTTAGCAATATTATGTGTTGATTGATTGATAAGTTTAATTATGAAAATGGTAACTTAATAAGTTGATTAATTGACAATTAATAATAATACTTGAGAGAGGTAAGCGCCCTCTGAGTCAGTGGCTGATTTAGGGGGGTGTCATGGGGGTCATGTCCCCCCTCCCCTTCGATTTCTGAAAAAACTCACACCAATGGTCCCCTCTTAAAGCAATAATAACTCTTCGTTTCGGCCAAAAAATGAATTTTCCTGGAGTAAACAACAATTTTCCCATACTTACCAATGGTTAATGAATCCATTTTTACATTCAAAGTTAGTCCCTGGTTTTTTTCTAAAAAGTTTGGTTTTTTGTTAAAATCTCTTAAGAGATTAAAATCTCTTAAGAGATTTTAACAGAGTATAGACATCAATGGAGGTCACGTGGTCTAACGACAAGTTCAAATATCAGAATGAAAGCTATAACTGCTGTTTTTGTGGTAAAACAGAATATATGATATTTCTATAAGTTATTCACAAGGTTTTTATTGTGAAATATAGGTCTCATACAAAGAGTTATTATGCCTTTAATATTAGAATTTTGACTAGCTGAATCATAGTTCTATTTACCCTTCAAATTGGGGCCGTAGCGATAGTCCGAAGGTTCAATAGTCCGAAGGTTCATTGGTCCGAATGTTCACTATAGAACCTTCGGACCAATGAACCCTTGATTAAAAAATCGATGAAAATGTTACCACTTTTCGGACCAATGAACCTTCGGACCAATGAACCTTCGGACTATCGAGACGCCCCCTTCAAATTAAGTGACCCCGACCCCGCGCGCCAAGGGTGAGGGGGGAGGGTCGGCTTTGCATCCGCGGAACCCCCCCCCCCCCTTCCACCCCACCTTCAAATTAACCTGGATCCGCATTCTAGTGGTCTTCAGCCAGACTCCAGTGATTTGCGGGAGCCCCGATAACGAGATGTTGTTTAGAGTCAAAAACTGGGTCATCTAACGTAGCAGGAACGTGAATCGAGGTGAACAACATAAATAGGGTGAAACGGGACTAGTCCAATGACATCAGGGACTCGAATGGGCGTAGTAGACATCTAACAGAAGTACACCGAAAGGTGAGCATGCAACACGTATACATATTGACTCAACTTCTCGGGTTCTGTAACTACATGAATATGTTTAATAGGTCCATGAACCGTAAGTATAGACTGGGTGCCTTCAATAGCATTATTAATGGTACAAATATTAAACGGCACGCACTATCCATCGGTGGGAGAATTCATCCACCATTGTGCCGTAGAAAGGGGCGGGGCGTTGGTCGGCGTGTGATAACTGTCTGTAGGTTTTCCTCTGTTGGCACTGTAAATGTCGTCACCCTACCCGTATGGTATGTGATACGTCTCGCTGTCTCAGAGTCATGTATCCACCACATGGCATTCTGTAACGTTACTGAATAGGCCCTACTGTTTTTATTTTTAAGTTATTTCAAACGCTCTGTACAATGAGCTTGTTAATAGTCGAAAAAGGAACTAAACCATCTGAACCCAAACGGAAACTCAGATAAACACGGGATCGATCAAGATGGGGATAATTTGTTAAGTAGTCAAAATCAAATCAACTGAGACGGTATAATCAAGAAACCAGTACCCATTCCATAACATTCCCGCGCCCCCCCCCCCTCCCCCAGGAACATGTCATCCCTTGGTTATATTTTTATTTTTATTATTTTTTTTTTTTTTTGCAAGTCATCCCTACTAAATCAATGACTTGCACATTTTAAGTCGGTGCACTGGTCGAGCGTTAGGCATTTTACTTATAATTGTGCAGGTAAATAACAAGTGACCAAGGTTGCGGTATCAACCGGTGGCACCGGTACTGGGGTTAATGACCTGGATGGACTGGTCATCTTATTTATTGA